TTGACCCCTGACGTGAACTCCAGGTATAACTTCTCAGATCTTCATGTAGTGTAGGCTATCGAAAGTAAAAAAAAAACGAAACGAAATATAGATCTGTATTTTACTTAGATTGCTAAAAAATGAATGTCCAGTATGATTACATGCCCTTCAATACAGTTATGACTTCCGGCTTGTGGAAATAAGGATTTTGGGAACTGATTTAACAATAACAACTTACTTGTTCATGGTAGGATTAAGTATATTATCAAGAACTGAATCCACCAATCTTTTACTACAATAAACATCATTGTCAGATGTTTCCAATAACTCAAGAAATTTTGGAGCAAATTTATCAAATATGGCGCTTTTTCCCTGAAATAATTAAGACAAATTTGAACCGACGTTCGTGTTGTTAGTAAGGGAGTCAGAATTCTCAAGACTAATCGAGCATGAAATATTGAACTTTTAACTTTCTGACTCGCTCGTGGGCGCCACAAATAGCCCGACACAACACCAAGGAAAGAGTCCAAAATCAAATGAAGTTGGATTTAACAATCTACATTCAGCGCCACTCGGACTAATGAAGAAAGGGGTGTGGTCTGAGAGACATTTAACGCGCCTTCTTATTGTCGAATTCCAACTCCCAAGGGTCTTGTGGTTTCCCCTTGTCAGTAATGCAGGACGGAGGGCCTGACAGGACGGCTGTCTAGTCGTGTGGATGGCACGAAAAACCGAGGTCCCGTGTACACATTGACGTGCACCTAAACGATCCCTTGGCAGTTGGAATTCAATATAAGAGTAGGCCGTAGTGCCGCTGCCCGGACAAACTTTCCCTCATCGCACACTGCATGGCGTATGCCGTCTTCATTAGCCCAGTTTAGGTGCAGAACAGTTGGACGTTATATAAACCCCATTTCATTTCATTTCCCAGGGGTCTTTTTACGCGCCCACCAATGTGTAGACGGAACCTCGGTTTTTCGTTCCGTCCGAGCTAGAAACTGTACCTTGTCAGAACCTCCCTCCTACACCACAGACAAGGGGAACCAAGCTCAAAATAAAACCCGAGGAATTTTCTCGGGCATCACTTTGGACTTCGAACCTTCTGGTTAGTGAGCCAGTGTCTTACGCATTGATACACCGTGGCTCCAACAGACGACATGAAATGGGGATTAAATTCCTACTTTTCTATAAAGATCGACATACGCCTTACAGTGTGCCTTGAGGGCAGCGGCGATGAGGCCTACGTTTGTATCGAATTCCACCCACCAAGGGATCTTTTACGTGGCACGTAAATAGTACACGGGAACCTCGGTATCCCGTCCAATCCGAACGACTAGACAGCTGTCCTTGTCAGGCCCTCCGTCCTGCACCACGGACAAGGGGAAAACCACGTCTGAAAATCACGACAAACTTTCTCGACCAATGCAGCGATCTAACACCCGACCTCCAGGTTAGCGAGTCAAGAGTCAGATATATTTTCCAATAAGAATCAAACGACAATTGATCTTAACTAGTAGTTTGGCCGACTGGGTTAAACGTCCGCTTCCATAAATTGACTTACCTTAATTTTACCAGGTTTTATCTCCGACCAATAATACCCAATATCTTCTATAATTTTACCATCTTTCGGTCCGTGTGTCTTTTTACTTAATATTAGAACAAAATCTATCGTATCTTCACAGATGTCTTCAAACATATTACTGTCTCTGTTGATAAAACAAATACAACTAAAGGCAAGGTTCATTTACAATGAGCGCGTATGCGAACTCGAACTTCTAGTGGCGGGTTAGATAAAGAGCTAGTCATTCTTGCTATCATAGTTCGAAAGTAGATAATGTAAAATGAATAATTTGAAAATTTCATTCAAATTACTCTATTGCGAACGAAGATATTAGCCTTGGGAGGTTTGACAAGACGTGTGCAATAATTTCAACCACCGTACTGGTTGTTCGAAGATAAGTCTCGCTCCTCCGTTTTTAGCTTAAATCAAAATATGGCTGAATTGTTCCAATCTATTTAAAATCGGATAACGCCGATGCCATTGAGAGTTGATTATGGTCTTGTTTTGTTAATAAATGTCTAATTAATAGTTTAAATAACATTTCAGGCCTAAAGAAAGACCTGCAAGAGGCAGATTTAGCTCTTGCATAATGTATGTTTAATTTGTAGTGGTGGGTTAGACGCGATATACTGAATATGGAGTGGCGGGTTAAACTCGTTATACTGAACTTGTAGTGGTGGGTTAGACACGGTGTATTGACTGATGACAGGGACTCTACTGAACTTGTGATTAAAAACCTACTGTAAACCAGATTTGAACTTTCTAAATACTGAGTTGATTTTATCGACCCCGTCCTCTTCATACGGTCCACCAGGATCACTTAACACAGCAATAAAATATTTCAGACAACTTTTGTAAAACTCTGCGTCTTTAACATCCTAAAATTAAATGAAATTTCCGAAAATTTAAGGTCAATCTGAGACTAACATAAGCCTGTTTATTCTTCTATCTCGGTTACCGGGGCAGTCAGCGAGAGAGAGAGAGAGAAAAAGAGAGAGAGAGAGAGAGAGAGAGAGAGAGAGTAACGTCTACGCGACACAAACCATGTCATTGCGCGATTAACATATTTGTAGAGGTCTTTAGCTGTGAGGGGAAACCGGGGGACCCGGAAAAACCCCACAAGGTTAGACAGGTGACCCTACTCCTGGTCTCCTTATCACGCACCAAAGATCAATATAAAGATATCTATAATTTTAAAGGAAAATATAGAAATTTACTGTATACTATGTGACAATAAAATGTTGGGGTTTTTTTGTTTATTAAAAAAGGTTTTGGTCCAATTGTAAATGAATTGAAATGGGATTTAAGTCCTACCTTTTTACCAACTGGCCTAATAAAGACGAGCATACGCGATACAGCAGGATATTGGAATACTTTTGCCCACTTTATCGTCCCATCCGAACGACTATGGGATCTAACCCGAGACTTCCTAGTTAGTGACCGAGAGCCTTACTCACTGAGTCACCGTGGCTTCCTGATTCTATTCTAATGTAGGCATATCGCTTCCGCAACAAAAGGAAACAACTTTAGAACCTTCTAAGGCTAGTAGATCGCCTTGCTAATCTTCTCGTTCTCTAGTTTCTCCCAAAAACATTAACATATACAATGGCATATAGTAATTGAACTGCAATATACAGGTGACAATTCTATGGAATACAATTACTGCTTAATACTGAGGGATGTTTCAACAAGACAATATATACATGTACACAACTGTACTTAGTTAATGCTGACCAACCAGAGATACCCTTCTAATTAGCTTAAAAGGAACCTAACTTACTTAAAGGAGCTAAGTCGCTAATATTTGGGACCTAGAAATTGACACAAATGGGTCGCAACGCATATAATAATGTAATATGAATGTATATAAATTGATTTACATTCAATCGTTTCTGTTTTACTGTAATTTCAAATCAGTTAGGTTCGGCTAAATACGCCAGTATTCTCAATCGAATTTCAATCTCTAGCGTCTGGTTATTCCAGTCTAGGCCGATAGTATTTATTGGGCATGCTCTCCAGATAAGAATATAGCGTCACCGTTTTTCGAGTCCCTTATTACAAATAGCGCTGAAACGCATTATGGTACACGATTCGTGTACCAATTGTAAAATGTTTATTTTGTCTTAAATATTGGATATCAGAAGGCCATCTTTTCCCGGTAAGATCACAACATCAATGTTGATTTAAACGGACAAATAAATCGTGTTTTCACTTTCGAAGATTTTGGATGATATTGAGTTAGAGACTTAGCTACTTTAAGGTATTGTAATTATAAAAGTTTAATGCTAATATACTGGATATAGACCACTTGAAATCAACATAAAATGATTAATGGATAACTTGTTGTGGGGTATTTACAATGACCAGGTTTTAATAATCAAAACACCCTGAAAGAAGATGTAATTGATTAATATTATCAATAAAAAAATGTTGATATATTCAGTAATTGTATTCCATAGAAATATGACCCTGTATACATAACACCAACCATAAAAACATTCCTGTTGTATTTATCCCATATTATAACACCGAGGTTGTGATACATGTCATACACCTTTTTCTCTTCCTTCAGGAAATTCAGTTCAAAAAAAAGATATAGCTCAGCAAAGTCTCTTTGTAAAGTCTTCTTTAATTCGGACCTGTTCATGTAGAAATATAAAACTTATTGCCATGTTAGGATACTCACAAGTATATGATTCTTGCCCTCGGAAAGTCAACAATAAATTTTCCTGCTTCTTTAACATATCCTGGGGGTGTGGGGGTGGGGTGTAAGGAAAGATTGACCCATAGCTTTTACTGATTGGACACTAGTTAAGCCTAGTTAAAACACCGAGGCCCATCAAGCGGGGGTGAAAGATACCGGGAAAATAATGTTCCATCAAGATCATTTATTTTAACTTCAAAACAAATTCTCTATCTGATAATATAATACGATATACTTACTTGGCTTCCACAAGAATTTCAAAAACATCTGACAAATCTTCAGCAAATTTTGAAAATTCTTCAACTGGCAACGGTTTGAAATCTTTTTTAAACAGGTTTAATAATTCTTTCCATTTCTCAATTGAACATTTCTATAAATAGAAGAACAGTTAAACGATGTGACGTAGTATCATCGACCATAAAGGGACAGGGGCAATATTAGTAAGGGCCTAATATATGATGTATAAGCTGCATTATAGGCAAATGATCTGCAGCTTTGGAACAGTTAATAAACACTGGCAACCAGAACGGAGAGATCTATATGGAGAGAATTTATGAATGATGTTGCATAGTGCCGTGTGTGCACTGATAATTTAGGGTTAGAACTTTAAAGTTTACTCTTTGCTGAGCAGTGAAGAAGTGACGAGATTTTAAAAGTGATGTTACATGACAATCATTTGGATGCGTGTTTACACCTTAAGACCCCAATCAGCTAAAATAGAGGATTAGAAGGTTTTACCTTCAAGTATCTATGTAGCTCCTGTGTTAATGCCTGCACGACAATAACATGAGTCGGTCGTAATCCAAGTTTTAACGTATCCATATAAAACTGTATATAAAGTTGGTGTAGAGGTCCCAGTTGATTGTCGGACATGACAGTGCTGAAATAAAATGAGAGAGAGATAGAGAGCGAAATGAGATCTAACGTTCACTCGACACTAAAATATGGTTCAATTTTATGTCAATAATTCGCTTGCGCGTAAGGGTCTTTAGCAGTGGGAGGAGACCGGAGGACCCGGAGAAAATCCACGAGGTTGGACAGGCGACCCTACAACCGGGGAATAGAAACCACGCCAACTGACTTAATGGCAGACCTTATGAACGAAGCACACGCGCTAACCATTCGGCCATCAAATCCCCCTGTAATGAAAAGAATAACATCGAAGGATAAAGAGGGTACAAGGTTCCTCTGTAGAATGTAGGGGGTGTAGATCTAGAGCTTATAGTTGTGGTGGGTATACTGATAGGAATGTTTTGGGCTAGTCTAATGTACCTACTGGGATAATGAAGCCAAGCACACACTTGACTTATAAACCTGTCCCTAGAGCAAAGATGGCCACGACTCCTTGAGAGTAGCGTGCATTCGACAACGTATATGTAACAAACGATTGGGAAACTCTCTTCCAATGAAATGAAATAAAATGGTGTTTAACGTCCTACTGTTCTGCACCGACTGGGCTAATGAAGACGGGCATACGCCATACAGTGTGCTATGAGGACAATTTCGCCTAGTCGTAAATTGAATTCCAACTATCAAGGGTTCTTTTACGTACACGCCAATGTGTACACGGAACATCGGTTTTTCGTCCCATCCGAACAACTATACATTAATTTCCAGGGCCTCTGTCCAACACAACTGACAAGGGGGCACTGCGCTTGAACATTCCGATGAACTTTGTTGGCCAACACCGGGATCGAACACGCGACCTCCGGGTTAGCAAGCCGTCGTCTTACCCACTGAGCCACTGCGGCTCCGACCTCTACCAGGTTACTGAAAAGTACAGTTTTATAGATAGTACACATATTCATCTGGTTGATTGCTTAAACTCCAAATGAGTTACCGGTTTGTTTTGGGTGGTGTGTGTGTGGGTGTGGCCGGGTGTGTGTAGGTGTTGGGGTGTGGGTGAGTGGTTGTGTGTGTGTGGGTGTATGGGTGTGTGGGTGTGGGTGATGGTGGGTGTGTGTGTGTTCTCTTACTTACCACCACTCCCCAGACATTCGACCAAGTGTGTTTGTAACCATGTCAACAACCACTTCATTCTGAATGTCAGTCGTACAGTACTTAGCCTTTAAAAGTCTAAATATCATGCAGAATTCGTCTACAATGTCCTTGGCTGGTCTACTTTTGACATCGATTTTCCAATTCTCCAGTTCATCATAAAAATGTTGTCTGCTCTCATAAGTGGCGTTGATGAAATCTGTCCTGTTTATGACGTCAATCATGTCCACTGAAAGATGTAAACAGAAATCCAACACAAATCAAAATGAGCCTGCGCTCAAAGACATTAACAGTAGTAAAACGAAATACGTGTCTCCCCTATAGATTAACCCAGGGTATAGTGGAGTAGAACGGAATGAGTACACTGGGGATACCGAGGATGGCAGGTCTATACACGAGTGGACTATCCCTATTTTCCTTGCCAGACCCTCCGTCGTCCTATACCAATGGCAAACCAGGCTGGTAACTCTGGCTGGTAATGGCCATATACAAACGAGTTATAGGCTTTTCTTTCAAGCGACTCGTTTTCCACGAATGCTCCCTTGGATATTTTAGTTCTCTAAATTTGCCGGTAAAGCTGGAACTTCCTTTAGAGCTGTCCTTATATATGAATGTTGCATTTACATTTGCCAATACACATGAACGTTTCACATACATTTGTCCATATTATGTTTAATTTACATTTAACATGAACGTTTCAGATACATTTGTCCATATTATGTTTAATTTACATTTAACATGAATGTTTCACTTACATTTGTCCATATAATGTTTAATTTACATTTAACATGAATGTTTCACTTACATTTGTCCACATAATGTTTAATTTACATTTAACATGAATGTTTCACTTACATTTGTCCATATACATGAATATACCATTTTTTACTCCCTCGCCTTTGTATAATATTTGTACTTGTATGGACAGTCATAATAAATGTTTTGATTTTTAAATTGTAGGGCGGGGCAATTACGATTTTTGGATAAGTGTTTCGTATGGGCACCGTTTTGCGCCAACGTTATTCTATTTAATTTTAGTAATCCGTGCACCCGATGCCTAGACCATAGTAACCCACTCCCAGAAATGGATACTGGTATAACTGCCAGTGCGTTACTAAGAAAGTAGTAGAAAAGCCCAGGTACGTCATTAAGCCTAGTTCTCGTTGTCTCTTGTACTAGTCAACGACTTCAATACATTAAACAGAACATTATTTAGAGAACTTAAATAACCTTTACAGCATATATAAAGATACTTTGTGGGAGATTAGATAAAGAGCTGACAGTTCTCACTATAATAGTTAGAATAAAACTAGATAATGTAAAGGGAATATGCTGAAAATTTCAGTCAAATTGCTCCACTCTGAACCGCGATATTAACGATTGAATATTAGGCCTAGCCTCGATCATCATTACTAAAGTCGGTACGATAAAAAACATAGTCTCGATTATCCTTGTTTGGATTTAATAACCAATGAGCGTTGATTGAAAATCCGACACAAAACCTAAAGAAAGTCCTGCAATAGGCAGATTTACCTCTTGTATAATGTATGTTTAAATATACGTACCTGACATTGTTATAGATTTACCGGTTATATTATACAAAATACTCAAATGTTACAGAGCTGTAAACAAGAAATATACAAAATTCTTTCATAATCCAGTATGATACAAAGTCATCTGTTACACTGTCATATGTTACACTGTCATATGTTACATTGTCATCTGTTACACTTTCATCGGTTACACTTTCATATATATAACACTGTCATCTGTTACACTGTCATGTGTAACACTGTCATATAATACACTACTATGCGTTACACTGTCATATAATACACTACTATGCGTTACACTGTCATCTGTACCACTGTCATATGTTAGGCTTTCATCTGTTACACTGTCATCTGTTACACTGTCATATGTTAGGCTTTCATCTGTTACACTGTCATCTGTTACACTGTCATACGTTAAACACTTTCATCGGTTACTCTTCCATCAAGAAATACACAGAAGTCCTTCACAATCCAGTATGATGTGTCACACTGTCATATGTCATACCGTCATCAACTGCTCAATTTGTTACACTGCCATGTCAGTGTCATCCGTTACGAGGGGGTCAATTCGGTAATATTGCATTAAACGTCGTGTAATAAATATAGCGATACTAAGCTTAAAATAGTATATGACTATGACAGATTAGCCGGTCAATAAAAATAGGTCACGTGCATATATAGACGAGTAATATTAACTGTTTAGTGTTCTATATAGTAACCGGTATATATCACCAATCAATCTATTACAACTAGTATTTAACAATCTCGAGCTTTAATAAAACCATGAACTGCTACAACAATACTCGTCTGTCCTAGTAGAATATTCGTATCGTCCTGTCTCCGACACGGTTACCATTGCAACAACACTCGTCTCTCCAAGTAGAATATTCGGCTCTCCTAGTATCGCATCGCCTAGTAGATTATTCTTGTCGTCCTGTCGGTCACGATTACCATGGAATAGTCGCATCGTCCTGTCTGACACGGTTACCAAAAACAGTCGTAGATTAGTCGTATCGCCCTATCCTACATTATTATCGTATCTGAATCCCCGATACATTCATATAACAATGTCGGCATGTTATGGCATGCTATCTGATAAAAACTATATTATATTTGTTTTAAGGCAGGTGTGATTAACTGTTTGTATAAAGGTAGGTATACTGTTCTTGTCTTAAAAGGGAAACTCCAACGAGTTTAAAATCATTCTTCCCACCTACTCTAACAACCGAGATATATCTGACAGGGCGATAATATGAGAAACAGGATTTGTTACTTTGGAGAAGAAGTCGGGTTTAACGTCCTACTTTTCTGTACACGGGACCTCCGTGTTAGCGAGCCAGTGTCTTACTCACGGGGATCACGTGGCTAAGTGGGTAAGACGCTGGCTCGCTAGCCTGGAGGTCGGGTGTTCGATCCCTACATTGGTCGAGAAAGTTCATCCAGATTTTCCGGCGTGGCCCCTCCTTGTCAGTCATGCAGGACGGAGGGCCTGACAAGGACAGCTGTCTAGTCCTTCGGATGAGACGAAAAACCGAGGTTCCGTGTATACATTGGAATGCATGTAAAAGATTCCTTGGCAGTTGGAATTCGATAAAAGAGTAGGCGATAGTGCCGCTGCCCGGGCAAAAATTCCCTCATAGCACACTGTATGGCGTATGCCCGTCTTCATTAGCCCAGTATAGGAGCAGAACAGTAGGACGTTAAACCCCATTTCATTTCATTTCGCTTGCGCGTAGGGGTCTTTAGCAGTTGGAGGAAACCGGGGCACCCGGAGAAAACCCACGAGGCTGGACAGGCGACCCTACTCCTTGCCACGTACATCCGGGAAACCGAAACCACGGCAGTTGACTCAATGACGGACCTTATGATACAACGTTTAAAAAAACACATGCAAAGCAAATCGAATATTGAAACTATTAAGCTATTATGTTTTAAAAGTGAACAAGGTTTATTAATTATAATTTACTTTAACACACGTGGTGACTCAGTGAGTAAGATGCTGGCTTGCTAACTTGGAGTTCCCGTGTTCCATCCCCACGTTACAGTTTCCATCCACCGCTAAAGACCCCTACGCGCAAGCGAATTATTGAAATAAAATTAAACCATGTTAGTCTTGAAATGACCTTGTTGGTGTCGTGTGGACGTTAAACCCCATCTCTCTCTCTCTCTCTCTCTCTCTCTCTCCAACTTACGTACGGACGTGGGCGACGCAATATACGACCACATTGCAATGCGGCCGTAAAAAAACGATATGACCCGCTCATAGAAACATGATAAACACACATAAAAAATTATTTCACAATACACAGCAAACATTGGCGTATAGATCCAGTACAGAATCTAGGGGGGGGGGGGCAAAGTGGGACAAATGTCCCCCCTCCCCCACTGTTCTGGGTCATACTAATATTTTATCCCGGACGGAGTCAACCAGTGCCTGGGCTGAGGGGATTGTTGCCCTGGGCAGTAAGGGATATTGGGGTCCCAGACACTCAAGGCGGTGGAGTACATGCTAGTACGATATGCAGTCAGTACGAACAATTTGAACAAACAACAATGGGGCCCCCGCACATTTGGTATGTCCCGGGCCCCCCACAAGGTTAATCCGTCACTATATAGATCAAATCAACTGATGAAAAGCCGAGACTTTGTCGGCAAGCAAATGCTTTTAAACTGGTTTGTTTTAGGCCAAGTTTCCGCTCTGTCGAAAGGATCAAGCCCATTGAATTATCTCCGCTTTGTTGTCAACCACTTGGAATACAATTGACAGGGTTTTATTGTTTTGTCAATATTCCGGTCATTTTAAAACCAACATTTTACGTTCAGTTAATTTTTCAATGTATGTCATACGTTTCGGGTTAGTCTCCTGGCTCAGTGGGTAAGACGTTGGCATGCTAACCTGGAGGTCCCACGTTCGACCCTTGGGTTGGCCGAGACGTTTTATCGACATGCCCGACGAGACCCCACCTTGTCAGGCGTACAGGACCGAGGGCATGGTAAAGGGTCAACGTATAGTCGTTCGCATGGGACGAAAAAACGGGGCCGTGACATCATTGGCATGCACGTAAAGGAACACTTGGCAGATGGAATTCGATATAAGAGTAGGCCGTAACGCCGCTGTACGAGCACAACATATAGTCGTTCGGTTGGGGCGAAAACCCGAGGTACCATGTACATATTTGCGTGCACGTAAAATACCCCTTGGCAGTTGCACACTTTATGGCATAAGCGCGTCTTCATTAGTCCAGTCTGAGCAGAACAGTAAGGCTTTTAACAAGGCTTGCGAAATCCAGACGGCACCTCAATCTACCAGAACACAAGTTTCATTGAAACCAATCACCGGTTTTAACGATAAGAGGATACTTATAGAAACGTTGTGATTTATGAAAGAACCCAGTGCTTGATTCCCACAAAAATTATAATCTGCTAATGTGTTTCTCAATCGCTAAATTCCACTTAAAGATTATTCTTCAATCTAATCTATATGTAAGACATCTATAATGAAATGTCTTTAAACAGCCCGGGACGTGCTAAGAAGAGCATGTTTGGAAGTAAGTTGGTCAGCACCAGAGCTAAAGTGGGAAAGGTTGGAAATGAAATAAAAATAACTGACACCCTCCACCACACCCCATAATACCCCTTAGTCTAAAAACGTGCAAAGAAAAACATATTCGGGAGGAAAGTGACCAGCATTTGTCCTCTGGTGGGATAGGTTGGCGTGATGCCTTAACACAAAGTAGATTTCTCACAATTTCAAAATAAAATTGTTTTTCCGCTGTATCAAGGATGGTCAGATATCATTATAACATGGCTCGTTATAAAAAAAAACAATCTTTTTATTATTTTAACTATAGTTGATACACATATAGATCTATAATTAACATGCATATATATATAATAACTCCATTTTAACTGATATAAAATACAGATGGGACGTCACCCTTTGATGTTGGCGTACCATTATATTAAGTAATTGTACGTGCAACCTGCCGACCGTACATTATTGAAATACACGTACAGAATAGTGTCTGTATTTTAAGTTGTTTAATGGCCTCGGGCAAGACATTGCGATATATATGGAAACAACACTCGGGCTAATGTCCTCGTGCATTATCCGCATATTACTTAAACATACATTATGTAAGAGCTAAATCTGCCTGTTGCAGGTCTTTCTTTAGGCCTGAAATGTTATCTAAATTATTAATTAAACATCATTAACAAGGCAACACAATAATCAACTCTCGGTGCTACCAGATGCCCCCAATTTTAAGTAGATTAGAACGGTTCGGCCATTAGATGATTTAATTTAAAAATGGAGGATTGAACAGTATGGCAGTTACGATCAATGAACACATCTTGTCAAATCTACAACCATTCATACCATTGCTCAAAATAAAGTAATGTGAAATGAAACTTTCAATACATTCATTTTGTATTATTTATTTTTGAAATGTTATAGAGAGAACGGTCAGGTCTTTATCTAAATCTTACATAATGTCTGTTTAATGTTTCGCTTTCGACCATTAAACCACCTGTATTATCATTCCTAGAATATCACCTCTAAAACAAGACAAACTTTCCGTGATAAAAAGAACAAACTTGTTCACCTTCCATTAGGGGTGTGTGCACACGATTTCGGTGTAGGACAATAACTCCTCGAGAATATCACACAAACTGTACATTCGTTACTATCTGATAAAGCACCTCCGTAAAATACCAAGCATGTCGCAAATGTTGGCAATAACCCCCACCCCACCCCCTCCCCCAACCCCTCTTCATTATGGATAACCAATCACAAACATAAACTCCCATTTGTTATCTTTGGTAAAAGTTTTGAAATGGAATGACCATTTCGTTCCATCAGAACGCACATTTCTGAATGTTAACTACAATTTCAATCTTGTTCGAAATGACGTATTTCTGACGTTTGAATTTTTTTGGCAATTTGGCAAAACGAACCCACCGGACAAACGCCACACAATAGGCATATTTGGTTCTTGATCTGTTTAACACGTGTACACATCATATATAGAAATAAGATTGTTGTAAACGTTTGATGCTTGAGGGGTTCTACAACATTATCCAAGGAAACAACCTCGATTTTGAAGTAATTATTAGAATTCTAAATAATGGAATAAATTCCAAATAGATCAGATAATTAACTTATTACATTCACAATATTCTATTAATAAACATTAATTCCGGATATTGAATGTTGTAGTCTTAAACATCAGTCATCATTCTCGGCTTTACTTAGTTGTGTTTAAAAAACACTTTAATCTTCCTCTAGTCATGAGGGTGGGCGGTGAAAGGGGACCCCATAAGTGGAATAGTCTAGTCGTGAGGGTGGGTGTTTGAAAGGGGACCCCATAAATGGAATAGCCTAGGAACTCTCTTCACCTACACCCAGCAATGTATGCTTGTATTGTTTGACAGTAGAGTTAATGTAATAATAGAGTTTTGTTACATGTATACAAATTCATGACATTTACATATTTTATCTTTAGTATGAATTTTAATGTGATTTATTACAAACATCATATATACATGTAAAAACAATACTTGATATCAAGGTAATTACATGTAGAAGGATGTTTCTGATTGGTCAACATTAACCAAGTATTGTTTTTAATACATGCATTGTCTTGTCCCATTTTATATTTAAAATGTCATTATTTTATCATGTAGTAAATTTGCAATCACATCACAATTCTCGCTACGATTAAAATCGTGGTTTTAATTGTGATGTAATCATGGTTATCCTATCAGGTCTTGTCATATATTGAGGTCAGTCATAGCAATCATGTTGATCGTATCGAAACATATCCAGACGTACCAGATTGTGGACTCGATAGGGACAATCGTATCGTAACGCATTGTACGACAGTGGGAAACTAGCATTACCACAGAATGTTTATTGTACAATCACCAAATTCATGAGTTTTACAGAAATAGACACAGTATATCAGACTGCTTTATTTATGAGTTTTACAGAAATAGAAAGTACACTGTACTTTGGTGAAAGTGGAGGATAAATAAAGTTATTTCCCACACGGATCGGGGTGTTACGTCAGGCCATCAAAAATTTAGGAGAACTTTAGGCATTTTCCAAATTTTATTAGGTACATGTAGGTAATCAGGCTTGAAATTGAATGGATTATCAGAAAATATTTTTAAACTGGATTCAGTAATCTTAGGGAAATGAACATTTACGATTTTCCATCATTGACTCCCAGAATTTTCCAAACCTGGTTCAGCATAAGTGAAGCTTTGGAATTGGGCTTGAGTTTCAGATTCCTCCAAACTTGGTTCAATATTAGCAGCGATAGGGTACTCGACTTGGGAATCATATTCCATCGAAAGTCCAGCAGAACTTTCAGGATTTTCCAAAGCTGGTTCTAACTGATCCTTATTGTGAACCGCGGCATGGATTTTGACTTCTCCCGGAAATCGAAACCCCTTCCCACAGGTTGGACATTGGTAGGGTTTTTGTCCTGTGTGGATCATCAGATGTTTCTGCAGGTTGTTCTTCTCTGTGAACTTCTTCCCACATTCACCACATTCAAACGGTTTATTATCTGAATGATAGAGGGCGTGACGCGTCAACTTGCTTTTCGTCACAAAGCCTTTACTACAAACGTCACATGTAAATGGCTTCTCCCCGGTATGAATTCGGATGTGTACGGTCAGATCCCCGGCAAATCGGAACCCCTTTCCGCAAGTTTCACACGAGTAGGGCCTGTGCCCTGTATGAAGCATCAGATGATTCTCTAAATTGTGTTTGTACGTAAATGTTTTATTGCATTCTCCACATTTGTACGGCTGTTCTACTGCGTGTATTCGCATATGCTTCGTCAGACTTCCGTTCTCACTGAACGATTTATTACAGACTTCACACTTGAACGGTTTTTCGCCAGTGTGAGTCCTGATATGACGAGTTAACAGAGTATTTGAAGCAAACGCCTTAGTACAGTAATCACAATGGTACGATTTCTTTCCAAAATGGGTCCGAAGATGATACGTCAAGTGAGCTTTAGATGAAAAGGACTTCCCGCACACTTCACAATCGATGGGTTTTTCTCCACTGTGTGACTGGATGTGCAGATTTAAACCAACGCTAGTTTTAAACGACTTTCCACAAATATCGCAATCGATGGGTTTATCTCCATTGTGTGTTTTGACATGAAGATTCAGACCCGCAGTTGTTTTGAACGATTTATCACACAGTTCACAATTCAATGTTTTTTCGTTTGATTGCGACGAGGGCTTAGATTTGTCTTCGTGAATTTTTAAATGGTTTATTATTTCCTGTTTATATTGAAATGTCGTATTGCAGATATGGCAGCCATATTGAGAATTAGCATCATTCCGTTCATTAGTATAGGCTTTCAATGTTGGATTGTCCAGGCTTAAATTATTGCTAAAATCTTTGTCTGTTTTACCTTCAAGTGTTTCCGACCAGTTTGCCCCGAAATGATTTGTACAATAATGTTTTTCTAACTCAGACTCATTATTAAATTCTTCATTACAAATTCTGCATCTACGACCCCGTCCTTCCGCTCTGGTGTCCATATTGATTTCTGACTTATCGTTTAACGTAATTCCCTCCCTTTTCCTCTCCCCACCACTGTTGAATATTGCAACGCCAGAATTTTCATCTGCGTTGTTGACATTTTGTGCGTTTTTGTGCGCCTCAATATTTCTAGGATCAAATATTTCTATCTGGTCTTCGGTTCCCTCTGTTTTCACGTGGATCTTACTGTGGTTTTCCAGTTCATGGTAATCTTGGAAAATCTGCAGACACAATCCACATGTGTAATATTCTTGATCGTTTTGAACATCCTGTAAAAGAGAGAGAGAGAAATGGGGTTTCAGGAATTTAGATTTCAGAAGATTTTTAAAACTTCAGTAGGCCTACGATCATAGAACTTTAATAAACTTGGATAATGGCTTACATATGGTCCAGTATATCAACTAGTAAGAGAGAGGAAGAGAGGAAGAGAGAGAGAGAGAAATAGGGTTTAACACCTACTCAACACAAACTAGGGCATTTCGGGACTAACATATGGTTCCTTTTAATTCAATAATTTGCTTGCACGTAGGGGTCTTTAGCAGTGGGAGGAAACCAGAGGACCCGGAGAAAACCCATGAGGTTGGACAGGCAACCCTACTCCTTGTCACGTACAACTGGGGAATCAAAACTATGCCAGCTGACTCAATAACAGACCTTATAATACAGCACGCACATGCTAAAAATTCAGCCAACCCCCAAGAAAGAGATAAATAATGTTTAATGTCCAATCAACATTTCTGGAGTAACCTGATTCGCTAATGCATAGGGGTCTTTAACAGTGGGACGAGAAAACCTGAGGACCCGGAGGAAATTCACAGGGTTTGGACTTTTCGACTAAATGACAGACCTTATGATATAAAGTTCATGCCTCAAACCATTCAGTCACCCAACTCACTCCAAGTGTAAGTGTAAATGCCCAATACGTAGTTAAAAATATTGAAAATTTAATAATTTGTTGTACTAGGCTATGATGAATTAATAAAGTCATGATCTAGGTTATGAGTTATTAAATGTCCATGGGAATAAAAAATTTCCGGTCACCAGTAAAAATAGAAGACAATGGCGAAGTTGAAGGAATTACTTTGCATAAGGAAGAAGGTGTCATTCCTATTTTTTTCTACCCGTAATAACTAAAAAAGGTCTTTGAGTTTGAAGATGTTTTGTAGTTTTTATATTTAACATTACATGCATAACGCGACTTTTTCTGGTCGAAGAATTAAATCACACTTTTCCTTCCTTTTAAATACTGATATGACGCTCAAAGTCAGCCCACCCTCACCCCCACAAAAAAAAAGCTGAGGTGCACATTTTATTTATTACATGCAATAACTGTTACATGGCAATGCATCTGGATATCTTCCGTTCCACAAACGTCCTAAAGATGGTGAACCCACATTTGTATTTTAGATCTAGTCAAAAATGCATCTTTCATCAACATATAGGTCGTAAATTATATCTATAAATGTAACATAGCTACCATTTCTGCAATATCAGTTTAAAAACCTCGTAGTCTTTGTGCTCTTTAAATGGCAGCCATATTGAATCCAGCTGAATACCACATGTGGACGAGAATCTCATCGACCCGAGTAACTCACTTTCTGTATTCCATTCCTCGCAGATTTAATTTTATAGAACAGATTCTGAAGTAATAGTTAAGTGTATTGCCAAAATTCATTTGTTTAAGATTTGAATATTCAGCTACATGACGTGCTTTACTAATACTGTTATTTAGAAACCCACAACCTTTGATTTAGAATGAAGTTTGTTGTGGACGAGGATCTGATGGACACGAGTAACTCTTTTACTTTATTCAGCTTTCGTACAAAAGGTTTCTAATAGTAACCTGTCTAAAATATATGCGATTTGTGTGTGTGTGTGTGGGGGGGGGGGGTCGTGGTGTTTGATTGGTCAAGGCAATTAACTGGTTTGGTCAGACAACAATTATAGAAAGACGAATAAAGGATTTGGACTTTTTGGATATTGCTTTATTTAGTCCCGCAAAGTACCAGCGTCGATTTTTGAAGAAGAGGGTTTCCAGGCTATTCAACTTATGAAGCCCTTCAGATCATCGTTTCCCCTTGTCAGTGGTGCAGGACGGAGGGCCTGGCAAGGACAGCTGTCTAGTCGTTCGGATGGGACGAAAAACCGAGGTCCTGTGTACACATTGGCGTGTACGTAAAAATATCCCCTAACAGTTGGAATTCGATATAAGAGTTGGCCGTAGTGCCGCTGTCCGGGCAAAATTTCCCTTATAGCACACTGTATGGCGCATGCCCGTCTTCATTAGCCCAGTTCGGAGCAAAGCAGTAGGACGTTAAACCCCATTTCATTTAGTTTTGTTTTATGATTGTGAGTGTATTGTGAAATAATTGTTTAGGTGTGTTTATCGTGTTTCTATGGCCATGTTATATCTTTTTATTGATCTACTCGTCGCCTGTCTTGCTGTGTCAGGTATATTGATTAAAGAGACAAGTTTAAAAAACAATAGTTGAATAGTTTAATGTTCGATTTGCGGGTTATGTATCGATCGACATGTGGAACGTCCTTTTTTGAAACACGAGCCCGTACTTTTGTAGTAACAAAACGTGGCGCCATATACTTTCCGTGACGTAATCATTTTATACGCAAGTTGCACAGCGTGTTTATAATTTTTATTTGATTTCGCAATGAGAGAGAGAGATAAGAGAGAGAGAGAGTTTGTGTCGAGTGGACGTTAGACCCCATATCTCTCTCTCTCCCTCTCTCTCTCTCTCTCTCTCTCTCTCTCTCTCTCTCTCTCTCTCTCTTTCACTTGCGTGGGTGGAATGAATTTATTCTCGGTGAATTGTCCCTTTAACAAACGCACAGTTTAATATACCGATCTTGCGTATTTCTGTTGAATTAAAACAAATATATAGTATGTATATTTATATCAAATAACATGCCGATATTAACATATGAATGAATCGGGAATTCAATACGATTTACAGTCAAGGTCACGTGTGTAATTTAACTGATTTAGACGTACGAGTATTTAATTTATATTTATAGCACGGCTTTCATGAGTTAACAAGTTTAACCAGAGACCAAAGGCCGAGGGATTAAACCCTTAACGAATGAAGCGTGCTATAAATGACTTGCAACATTGACACCTGCTCAACATGCTTGTTGTTATTACACAGAAAACCCACCCCACTTCTCCATATGATTTTTATTAAAACTAGTGTCTGGTTATATTGCACTGTTTAGCTCCACCCAATCTACTAAAGGGAAAACAATCTGCATATTCAACGAAAAGAACAAAGGAAGATTTCCCCATCCATGTCTTAAGTGCGTTTAGCGTCTGCTGTCATATGAATGGATTAGTGTTGATGGTAAACGACTATTCTGCTACGGTTGGGATTTAACAAACGTAGTCTATAGCACTTGAAGATACGAGCATTGATATAAAAGTCATATCGTGTGTTGTATAGACTGCTGGCAACGTGGTGTATATAGCTAATATGTAGTATATAGAAGACCGACCAACCATAACAAACATTACTTATGTGTACGTACATGTGACCTGTTTTTATTGACTGGATAATCTCTCAATATATAACATTTATAGCTAGTTATTGCTGTACACATGACGTTTAAGGAAAGAAGGCGTTGTGATATTTACTTATTTACATGTCTGTTTGGATTATTTTCAATTATTGAACGGTTCTAGAGATAATGTTGTGTTTATAGACTATATTGCGACTGTTCGTTAGTGTTATCTTGTGAATGATGTGCCAATCTGAATTAATTACGTGCGACATTTCATTTGTACTGTTTGTTTATAGTATCTTGTGAATTATGTGCCTGTCCACGTATTGTTATGGGCCAATCTAAATGAATTACGTGCCCGTACACGTATTGTTAAGAGACTATCTAAATATAAGTATATCTGTATTTCGTTTCGTAAAATAAAACTCAGGGAAAATAAACCGAAAAACGAATTGAAAAACATCTGATTAACCAATTAAATCTTTGATCTATACCCGAGTTTATTTCCATTAATAAATACCAGTGAATAGACTGTCGTATCTCACTGATCACTTATTGTCCTAAATTTTCATGATCAGGCCGGAATCCAAAGGATTACCAAATATTTATACCATATATAATCAGGCGAAAATCTCGTCTTGACTGGGTTATTGATAAAATCATAGTTAATCGATTATTGGGCCTACCTTATTATATGCAGTTTATTATTAGTCTACATAGTCACTATTCAATCAGTTATACTTAATACCTCGTATCAGTTTTTACCTGTGTTTCTGTACTGTTTTTAGGATCCCCGAATTTACGTAATAATGATACAGTCGGAAACAAGCATTTCCTTATATAGCTGTGCGACAATCTTTCGGTATTGGCATTGTTAGTATCTGAATATTCAAACTTGCAAAGTGGCATCAGGTGTCCTAGAAGTGATATCGGATATGTCAGGTATTGATATTTTGTTTTATCATAATACAGACACATTTAAAGGGAGTAAGCGTGTGAATTAACAAAGTCTTTAGAAAGGATGTGTTTGTATGAACTATTTAAATTATTGTATTCGTGCAGGTATGAGTGTATGTATGACAATTTCAATGACAAATATTTGTGTTTGTAAAGAGTGCGTGTGTGTGTGGGGGGGGGGGGGCGTGCGGGATGTGTGTGTGTGAGTGATTTCATTTAAAAATCGTGATTGTGGGTGTTGGCAATTTTAAAGAGCGTATTTGTCTGTGTGTGTATGAATGATTTTAAAGATCGGATTGATGTATGTGTATGGGCACGGTGTCCGCAGAGCAATGTCGAATTAAGACCTATCCTCTCACAGGTAGAGATCCCTACGAGCAAGCGAATTATTGATCTATAATTGAACCATATGTTAGTCCTGAAATGACATATAGTGTGTGTTGACTGGACGTTAAGCTCTCTCTCTCTCTCTCTCTCTCTGGTTGATCAAGGCAATTAGAATGTTAAACCACATTTCATTTCTGTGAAGGTCTTGGAGATCAGGATCATGTTGAATTTTGTTTTACTTCTGTTTTGAACGGTATTTTGTTTTCATTCTTTCAGTGGAGGTAGTTGAAGTTATAAACAGGACGGATTTTGTAAACATCACCTGTACAAGCAGACAGGATTATGAAAACGCACTATGTAAATGGACCATGGGTATCACGGAACGGCCACCCAAAGACAGTGTTGACGAATTCTGCGAGATTTTTATAGCTTTAAAGTCTAAAATCTATATAAGCGACTTTCAGAATGGTGTGGGCACCAGATTGATTTTAAACACGTTTATACGCATGTCCCATGTATGGAGGTTAGGCGGGTAATAATAAATATGTCCAAACAAACCCGTCACATCAATCTGTAAATTTTCCTTAGAAATGAAATGAAATGAAATGGAGTTTAACGTCCAAACTGGGCTAATGAAGACAGGCATACGCCATACGGTGTGCTATGAGGGGAATTTTGCCCGGACAGCGGCGCTAAGGCCTACTCTTATGTCGAATTCCAACCGTCAAGGGATCTTTTACGTGCACCCTAATGTGTACACGAGACGTCGGTTTTCCGTCCCATCCGAACAACTAGACAGCTGTCCTTGTCAGGCCCTCCGTCCTGAATCACTGACAAGCGGAACCACGCCGGAAAATCTGGATGAACTTTCTCGGCCAATGCAGGGATCGAACACCCGACCTCCTGGCTAACGAGCCAGCGTCTTACCCACTTAACCACCTTGACTCCCAAATTTACCTTAGAACGAAACAGTTGAAAATAATTAATGCTAAAACAATCTGTTAGATAAATACGCGAAGTTGTTGTAAAAAACTACAATAACCTGGGAAAAGTTCCTCCAAACCTTATAGGATGTAGTTCAGTTCCTATTGCTTCCTATATAGTTGCAATATGAAAATACGGTACAATACCGCACTTCCGCCCACTCTTTTCTCGGGCTATTTTGGAACCCTTACCTTCTACTATTTTTTCACCGTGAATGTTTATTTGTCGCAAAAGGAATTATAATAATATGTCAGCGATAACAACACCATTATAAATAATGAACAACAATATTATAGTATTTGTTACAGGGATGTTGTAGTTGACAATATTACAGTATTTGTTACAGCAATGTTTACTGACAATATATTATTTTATTTATCACTGTATAGTATAAAGATAGCGTTAATATCGCTGTATTATATACTATAATAAAACTAGTCTCAACTACAAAATCACTGTAATAAATAATAAAATAATATGTCAGGCATCGAGTTCACGTAGCATTCTCAGACTTAAGTTAAGCATTTACTCAACTTGCAGTCACTGTTTATGAGAAATATCTTTGATCCTGAAACACAAAACTTTGTACTTAGTTTCTTATTGATGTATTTGATACATTATAACAATAAAAGTTTTATAAAGGGATATATTTTAATTAAAATAAGGCGAACAATTTTAAGTAAATTCCTAACTTAAACATGCATTATGCAAGAGCTAAATCTGCCTATTGCAGGTCTTTCTTTAAGCCTGAAATGTTATCTAAATTATTAATTAGACATTAATTAACTGATCCAGGCCTTAATCAACTCTCGATGGCATCAGATTTCTCCGATATTAAATAGATTAGAATGGTTCAGCGATACTTTGATTTAATCAAATATGGAGAACCGAGACTTAGCTTCGATCAACCAGTACGGTGGTTGAAATTATTGCACACGTCTGTCAAACCTTCAAAGGCTAATATTTTCGCTTGCAATAGAGTAATGTGAATGAAATTTTTAAATTATTCATTTTACATCATCTACTTTCGAACTATTATTGCAAGAATGGCTAGTTCTTTATCTAAATCTTACATAATGTATCTTTAAGTCTGAGAATGCTTTGTGAACTTGGGACCCGAGATAAAAACATCATTATAAATAATGAAATTACATTACATTATATTATATAATATAATTACAGGAATGGTATGTTCGAGAACCAACTGGAACCTCTAAAGGAGCTTGTTATACAGTTTTATATTGATGTATTAAAACTTGGACCACGAGAGGCTCATGTTTTAGTTGTAAGGTCCATGTTACAACTACTATATAGCTACTTGCAGGTAATTAACACTTATTTTACTGTTTGGGTTTTTGTTGATAATTTTGTATCCCTAACCCAGTTTTCTCTTAATAACCCGTTTTATTAGCTGTTTTGGTTTTTTTTGTTGATAATTTTGTATTACTAGAGCGTCAATTTTATTGGAAGAAGTGTCGCTGTAAGATGCTTGATCAACTGGATCGTGTAGCACCATGGGTCGTCTGTCAGACGTGGAGAGCGGGCAACGCTAAATCCGGTCGCCACATCCGACGTATAACCCATGCATCGTTTCTTACTACATATTCTGGAACAGTCCATGATCGTCTAGTATTGTCTCTGGTCGCCTTTGTTTCTTATTTTCTTCTTGTAGGACTCCACTTTAAATATTGAGTATTTATTCTGCCCATTCAGTTTATGGTTACCCACAGTAACAACAATACCACATTTCGTTTCTACATTTTATATTAAGCACTGCTACATATAGGTTAAAAGCATAGTAAAGTCATTCTCTCTAACCCGCTCTCGTGCAGACTCGGCGAGTCTGCTGATGGAAATTCCTACATCTTCTCCCTACGAGAACTACCGGACTGTCTTCCCTAGAGCGCACATTCTTTTAATTATATATTCTCAGATTCACACCCATTAATTATTCTATTGGCTAATTATGATGTAATTAATCATGTGATTGGTCACTCCATGCCAAATATGAAATGGTAACTTACCTATCACATGCTTTTAGAATTTATCCTTGAAAAATGCAAATAAGCATACATTCTCTATTTGTGGTTATGAATTTAGAATCAATACATGTAATTTGTAAAGATAATGATATTGTTTCGGCCCTCATATTTCTCTATCCTGTGTCTTTAGACCCCATGTCTTGTTATTGTCACAATATTCATAACAAATTTTAATTTGCGTTTCAGAATTAACTTATACCATAGCTAATATTTTGGCCATGGAGAATAATTAATCAAAACCCTAATATTTTTTTACATAGATGTTTCAAAGCACAAATTCGTTCCCTCCATATTACTACAATCGCTAATCTGGTTACCTGGAGGGTGCTCGTTCTTTCCCGGTAGTGTTGAACGAGAAGGTCGCCCTTGTCAGTGGCACAACGCAGGACAACTTCTAGTCATTCGAATGGAATCAAAACCCGAGGTTGCATGTACACATTCGTGTGCACGTAAAAGAACCATCGACAATTGGCCGGCAAATATTCGCCCATAGCACACACTTATAGCGTATGCCCGTCTTCATTGGCCAATTCGTCACAAACAAGTGGGACTTTAAGCCTCATTTGTTGTTCTTAGTGTTTAACGTCCGCTTCCACCGAAGGTGATATCGCAGACAAGTCTTATTTTTTATTTGTATTATCTTAGCGCATGCGCAGGGGTCTTTCCTGTGGGAGGAAACCGGAGTACCCGGAGTAAACCCACGAGGCTGAGAAGGCGCCCGCAAGCCAGAGGTGACCGGCCAGCTAGAGGTCGAAGCGCGGCACTCTAGACTACTAGGCCATCCCACCCCCCAGTGGAAGTTAAGAAACGTCCTCATTACAAACCTTTAGAGATTGTCACTAGGACACTGATATTAGATCAACCCAGGGTGTCAGATAAGACAATTCACTGCATATTTTCACCAGTCAATAGGAATCGTTTTTCAAACGCACATCCAGGGCCTGTGTTGTGATAAGGCGAAAGGCATCCTTCTTGATCACGTTGTTTTGGTCCGAGTCCCCATGATTTTGCTCCATCACCAAAGAAGCATACACCAACCAAACGAATTATTGAAATAACAAAATCTATCATCATTTAGTCCCACAGCAATATTTCCCTAGCCGCTTAGGTTCGACGACACTGTGTGATATCCTTGTTGTTTAGTACAATGTATAGTTGATTTTAATTCAGATCATTAGCATTTGAGAGAGAGAGAGAGAGAGAGAGAGAGAGATGGTTTAAAGTCCACTCGACACAAACTAGGTCATTTCGGGACTAACATATGGTTTAATTTTATTTCAATAATTCGCTTGTGTGTAGGGGTCTTTAGCAGTGGGAGGAAACCCACGAGGTTGGACAGGCGACCCTACACCTTGTCACGTACAACCGGGGATTCGAAAAGCATCTTCGTCCAAATATAAACAATGTAATATAGAAGGAGGTCACATAGTTTAACTGTTCTTCTATTTCTAGAAATGTTCAGTTGAGAAATGGAGAGCATTAATAAAACTGATTAGAAGAGTTTTCAATCTGTTACCAGGGAAAGAGTTTGCTAAACCTTTGTCAGATCTTTTTAAAATACTTTTTGACGCCAAGTAAGTATATTGTATAAAGTTATGAGATAGATAGATAAGTCGATCTCGACGGAACATTATTTCCTTATTGCTCACTCACCCGCTTTTACGTTTTGCCATGGGGGGGGGGGGGGGTGGATGGCCGAATGGACAGTACGTGCGCGCTTTATTATTGGGTATAACCCATCCACAATTGGCTATTTAATCTATTTGTGAGTATAATAACCAGTCAACAATAAGGCTTTTTACGGTTGACGCTCCCAGGAAACGAGCGTATAACCACTACACATGCAATTTATTGATGACGCACTCGGCGAAAAATTCACATATTTGTGAATATAACCACTCCATAAGTAAGTTATCTGTGGGTGACGCTTCCAGGGATAGAGTCATAAGAAGAACCCCGGGGAAGAACGATCCAAGTCACTTTTTCAACGAAACCTAGATAATGGCTGCATTTGGTAGCAAATTGTATAAGCTTTCTGTCGAACAACCAATTTCAGGTAAAAACGATCGGAGTCACATCGAACCAAGGCTCTTCTGAAATAGACTCCCGGACAAATACGTCCATCGCACCCTTTATTTGAACTTTATTTGGCTGAAAAGTGGAAGTCAGTTGCTGTACTGGTAATTATGATTCGTATTAAACATCATTTTGAAGTTGTAATTAAACCCACTCGTTGTTCTGTTCGCGTCAAGCATTCTCGTCCAAAAGTCTGTTTTGCCTTTTATGCTAAAAAGACAAAGATGTGACTTAGATTGTTCTTTCCCTGGACTCTTCATATATTTAGTAGGTTATTGACCGTTAGCGGTATATCAGAGTAAAACCACTAGTCTATTCGTTGTATATTTTATGTTTCTATATGGTTAGGTCCGACAAGAAGGAACATTTACATACAGAATTTACTGAGTTATATCTTTATTTTGAACTAAATTTCCTGAAGGAAGATAAAAAGATCTATGATATGTATCAGAGCCTTGGCCAGAAAATACGGAATAAGTACAAAGACGGTGTTTTTAAGGTATGTATTCGTTATAGAGCTATAGATCTAGGGAGGCGCGGTGGCTCAGTGAATAAGACGCTGGCTCGGTATTGGGGAGATTTCGATCGATCGATCGAGAGAGAGAGAGAGACACACACCGAGAGAGACAGAGAGAGGGGGTGGGAGAGGGTTTAACATCCACTTGTCACAAATCATGTTATTTCGGGACTAACATATGTTTCAATATGATTTCTATGATTCACTCGCGCGTAGGGGTCTTTAGTAGTGGCGAGGAAACCAGAGGACCCGGAGGAAACCCACGACCAGCAAACCTCGTTAAACCCACCCAACCCACGTCTAGATGCTAGGCATTAGTGATTACAATATTGACCCAATCTGATTAAAACACAGATCCTATTTCGTTTCGTTTTTATAGTTCAAACTTTCGTTTTACTTGTCTTTACTACACTAGGGTCTGGAAGAGTTGTTATTGACGTGTTCTGAAGGGTGTGAGGAATTAGGCAATGACACGGTTTGTTACGGCGAGCTTTAGGCGTGTTTTGCATGGAACTGTGGGTAATCCACTAGTAACATCAATGCGGATTGGTTAATCAAATGTCTGACGTCATAGGGTCAAAATGCGCTCGTATGACCTCTGACGCGACCTATCGCTACAACCGGTCAGATCTTTATGTAGTGTAGGCCATTGAAAGTATAAAAAACGAAACGAAATATAGATTTGTATTTTAATCCGATTGACAGACCAGTGACATACAACAGGTCGATTTAAGTGGAATTCTTTATGTAGGAAAGAAGCCAAAATTAGCGGACAACAAATTAGTTAATATGGAAAGAGTAAATTTTACACATGGAACAATACGTGAAATCAACATTCGGTCGATAACAATGAAGTTTTAAAGTAATTTCATGTACTGTAATTTAATTTGTTCAGAGAATACATTATCCCAAAATACATGTTCATTTTTCAGATAAGTGTCTATTATTGGTAAAACTGTCAATTATTTTCAATAAATAATGGACAGTTTTATAAATAATAGACGATTGTTTAAGAAAAGCGTACATTCTTCTATATACTGGTACAAAACATCAAAGGGTGACGTCATATCTATGTTTAAAATACTCGTAAATTACCATAGAAATACCACGGTTGTCGTAATGATATCTAATACCCGCACTCGGCAAACCTCAGCAGATTTCAGTACCCTACATCTAGCCTCGGCTGTATGACAAAGTCCCCCATTGGGACAACTTTTAAGTTCCCGGATTACCAATGGCGTTGGCCATGACGACGCCTTTGAAGAATGTTTTATTTGAAAGTCTTAAGCTGTTTTTATTTCAAGTTTATCCGATGTTCTTCAAACAAGGAAAACTTTGCACTAAAAATTCTACACACGCTTCGAACGAGGCAATTTGGATAACTTCTTTTTAAAAGCGGCAAGTTTTCCTAGTAAGTAAACCGGTGCCGCATCGCAATTGTATTAGCGTAGGTACATATCACTTACCGTCATACAGCCGAGGCTAGATGTAGAATAACGGAATCTGCCGAAGTTTGCCGAGTTCCAAAACCCGCACAGTTATGCCGACAGAAACTGATTACATCAATGACTTAATATATTTTGAACTATTTTTTCTCTCATCTGGAGACCTCGTCACACATCTCATTGTTACATTTTTTATATTTTTCTTATTGAGCTTGGATTTCAAACTTGAACATAATCAGAATAATAATACGAATAAACCTGTTGATAATACCATTCTATTTTAGGGTGTAAATGACCCAGAGTGTTATAGAAGTTGTCTAAAATATTTTATCGACGTTTTAAGCCGCCCTGGTGGACCGTATGAATTGGAAAAAGTCAAGATAATCAACACAAAATTTGAAGAGCTTAAATCTGGTTTACAGTAGGTGATGTTTTTAATAATACGAATAGAATAAAACACGAGAGAGAGAGAGAGAGAGAGAGAGAGAGAGAGAAAGAGAGAGAGAGGTTAACGTCCACTCGACCCAGACTAGGTCATTTCGGGACAAACATGGTTTAATTTTATTTCAATAATTCGCTTGCGCATAGTGGTCTTTCGCAGTGGGAGGAAACTGGAGGACCCAGAGAGAAAATCCACGAGGTTGGACAGGCGACCCTACTCCTTGTCACGTACAACCAGGAAATCGAAACCAAGCCAGTTGTACCTTATGATACAACGTGCACACGCTAACCATTCGGCCATCCAACCCTCCTATATGTAGTTCCAATAATAGAGGGGAGATGGGTAGCTGAATGGATGGTTTAATGGGTTCAGTTTAATCATAGCCCAGTGATAAAAGCGCCAGTTAACTAACCAGGGGGTCAGGGGTTCGATCTTGGAGTTGACAGAGAAAGTTCCTCGGAATTGTTCAGCGTGCTTTCCTTTGTCAGTATTGTAGGTGTACTTGGAAGGACTTGGAAGGAAGTTCGGTGACCCCGTGTTATTCTACAGAGAGTCCAGGCAAACCGTTCCATATAGAACATTGCATGATGAATGCTCGCCTTCGTTAACCCGAAAAGTAGTACGTTAAAGGAGCTAAATCGCTAACATTTGGGACCTAGAAATTGACAAAAGTGGGTCGCAACGCATATAATACTGTAATATGAATGTATATAAACTGATTTACATTCAATGGTTTCCGTTTTTACTCCAATTTCAAATCAGTTATGTTCGGCGAAATAAGCCAGCAGTCTCAAGCGAGTGCAAATTTCTAGCGTCTGGTTATTCCAGTCTACATACGCCGTTTGATTTGGTGCAATGTGTCTAGCCTCGTCCCTCGAGTCTCTTGATACAACTGGGGCTGACGCGCATTATGGTACACGATTCGTGTACCAATGGTAAAATGTTTATTTTGTTTTAAATATTGGATATCAAAAGCCCATCTTTTTCCGGTAAGATTACAACATGAATGTTGATTTAATTTGACAAATAAATCGTGTTTTCAATGTTGAAGATTTTGGACGATATTGAGTTCGAGACTTAGCTACTTTAATCCCCTATTTTATTTCATTTACCAAACCCTATAATCACCCGGCGCCCACATGTCTGTTGTCATAACCGTATATTAGCACTGGCCCTTTTCTCTGACCTAATACTAATTTATCACGGGAACTCCAGTTATTTTAATACATTCTACTAATCAAATTCGATGGTATTATATTTATCTACTTTGTATAACCTCTATGATCGATGGTATTATATTTATATACGTTGTATAACTTCTAGAACCGGTGGTAAAATATTTTTGATTTTCCATTTCGTCGTTAACACTTGGCGGCGATATAATCTTAGGTGAAAACCGACTTTATTTGTATTTTTTTATCAACAGAGACAATAAAATGTTTGAAGACATCTGTGTAGATACGCTAGAGTTTATTTTAATACTGAGTAAAAAGAAAGACGGACCAAATGCTAATAAAATTATAGAAGAGACGGTGTATTATTATGGACGTATAAAACCTGATACAATTAAGGTGGGTATGATTGTATAACACTCTGACAGAGTTTAATTATAGAATGGTACTATTTTGAAACACAGCATATTATAATAACGAGATGGACACAAGGTAAAGGGAGAGAGAGAAAGAAATGGGGCTTAATGTCCACTCGACACAAACTAGGTCATTTCGGGACTAACATATGGTTTATAATTTTATTTCAATAATTCGCTTGGGCGTAGGGGTCTTTAGCAGTGCGAGGAAACCGGGGGACCAGGAGAAAACCCATAAGGCGATCCTACTCCTTGTCACGTACAACCGGGGATTCGAAAGCACGCCAGTTGACTCAGTGACAGGCCTTATGATACAGCGAGCACGTGCTAACCATTCGGCCACCCAACCCCCCACAGGGTTAAAGGTAAAGGTTAAACGTTAAAGGTCATTACGAATATACACGTCAGTGTTCTAGTTTTAGAAGTCATGTTAATGGGTATGAAATGTGTTCAAAACGGAAGTGAATTAACACAAATCTGTCTTAACAAATATTTCAGGGGAAAAGCGCCATTTTTGATAAATTCGCTCCAAAATTTCTTGAGTTCTTGGAAACATCTGGCAATAATGTTTATTGTGGTAAAAGATTGGTGGATTCAGTTCTTGATGATATACTCAGTCCTACCATGAACAAGTAAGTTGTTATGACTGCCAAGGGATATCGTACAGTCGTTCGGGTGGGACGAAAAACCAAGGTCCCGTGTGCACATTGACGTGTACATTAAACAACGTTTGACAGTTGGAATTCGAAATAACAGTAGGCCCTAGTGCCACTGCCCGGACAAACGTTCCCCATAGCTCACTGTATGGCATAAGCCCGTTTTTATTAGCCCAGTCGGAGCAGAACAGTAGGATCTTAAACCCCATTTCATATCAGTTTATATTTGTGATACGAAGATATAGAGACATTTTAAAATTTCAAGGTTTTTCATTGTTTATACGGCCCAGCTCATGATATGTTGTCGATTCCTCATCACCGACGAGAATTCTTTATTATCTTTGGCGACGCTTATTTACGCATTCATCCACCCAGTGACTGTTCTATTCCACCAAATGCTTAGCAGTGTTGGAATAAATACATGCAGCACCAGCCCAAATGTTCTGTCGGCGATATTACCATTTTTAAATCCTGGATGTGGATAATCGGGGCTATATATTTCTTTACGTTGGCTATACCGTTAGAAACGGTGACTTGATTAGCAAGACACTTCACCTGGCACATCGGCAAACGTACACATAATTGGGGCACTAGACGTTCACAGTGTCAGTTGTTATCTCTATGACGTCATTTATCTGACATTACCCCTTTCAAAATGTATTGATATTATGTACAGCACATGTTCGTTGTATTTTACAGTACTAAAGACCATATAGGATTATGGTTGAGAATTATTAAAGCTGGTCTCCATAGAAACAAGTCATTAAAAGATATTGCACGTGCCATTAAAGATAAAGAAAAAGTTTTAAAATGGAAGGTATGTAATAAACGACTAGTTCTGTGTAATAAAAATAAAATTGATTAAGTTTTATGTAAAGTGGGTATCAGTCTATATTTAAAGTTTCAGCCATGTTTGAGTTATAACTGATTTGATGTTCAACAGTCGTAGCTTCACAAAAAAAACCCACAAATAAACCAAAACCCACGAAACGAAATAGTGTTTTTAGAGGGTTGGGGTTAGGGTTAGGGTAATGCCCTATTTCTGTGATTCAAATGGGATAATGAAGATAATCATAGAGCACTGACCCAATTTGATTAATACTTTCGTTTTTACTGTTTTTGTATTTGCGTCACAGACCAGACGTAATGCAGTGTAGGAGTCTTGAGTGAGGAAAACGCACGAGGTTGGACAGACGCTCCTACTCCCTGTCAAGTATAAGTTAGAATCAAAAACACGCCACGTAACTCAATCACATATCTTATAACCTAACGCGCACTAATCGGCCACTTTATTTTCAAGAAAAAGCACAACTACATCATCAAAAACAAATATAATTCGATTTAGGGGTAAGGGCACCCGTTTCTTTAAAGTAAGTCAATTAGAACTGCTGCAGTCAGGCCTCGTGTGTGAGACAGCGTATAGTGACACCCTAAAACCACAGCTAATCTGAGCAATTCATTAAGAGTAAGTCAACTAGACCGGCTACAGGCAGGTCTCGTGCGTGAGACAGCGTATAGTGACACCCTAAAACCACTTCTAATCTGAGAAATTCATTCAGAGTAAGTCAACTAGACCGGCTACAGACAGGTCTCGTGCGTGAGACAGCGTATAGTGACACCCTAAAACCACTTCTAATCTGAGCAATTCATCCAGGGAAGCAACTGTTTGTTTTAATGCTGTATCTGGTTTTACTGCTTTTTGTATTTCAGGATTGGAAAACTGAAGCTAAAGAACTTTGTTATGTTTTCTTCAAGAAAAGAATTTATCGAACGGATGATGGATGGAAAGATATAAGAGACGGTTTTCATGATATATTAGAAGAGTTATTGAAGGGTTTTAAGTGAGGACAGCCTCCTTTTAGAACATCCGATACAACCTCATCTCTTCAATCCACTCGTTTGAGCTTGGCGTGCAGGGAAAACCTTTTCATCCCTAGCACGGTGTAATACGCGCGATTTATATCATAAGGTGTCCCAATGAGTCAATCCCCTGCTTAACACCACATGGCGTAAGGCCACCTGTCTTCATAATGCTTGGCTTTCATGTGGACTACGAATGCTACAATCACCACCCCCGAATCCAAACTTTTTCCGATTCGTAGATAAACCGTAGATGATTCTTAAAGTTCGTAAGTTATTTTGGTAACAAAATCATTGTGACCAGCTTTCTTATGGGCTAGGAATGCCACGAATCGAAAAACTGATAGGCCAAAAGGTCGCTGACCTACCCAAAGGCCTCACCGATGATGATGATGAATGCAAAGTTTTTCTGATTCGTAGATAAATCGTAGACGGTTCTTGAAGTTCGTGTGTGATTCTTATTTGGTTTTTACACATTCGTACTGTTCGCAGCAGTTCGTTGTTCGGCCACAAACTGTTTGTCAAAAACTTTCGTGGACGGTCTACGAATTTCGGAATTCATAGATGTATCGTTAGCCCTTCGTAGCCCTTTCTTATCGTCCGTAACAGCTTCCTATTCCATTCGTTGAGGAATAGTGCCAAATATCGTTAACTTTTCGTAGCTTTATCGGCATTATTCGTTGAGAGCGTAATGTTTTCGTAACTGTATTCGGCATATCCGTAACTCATTCGTCACTGTATTTGGCATATCCGTAACTCATTCGTAACTGAATCACTTTAGTTCGTAGAGATGTTTCTTTTATTTCGTAGAACCCTGTCGTGACATCCGGCATATTTGTCCGTCGATTGGCTACGAATTATCGTAACTCTTTCGTAAACTATTCGTAAATGCTTCGCAGCTTCTCCACATTTTCTACGATCGTTTTGATATTTTTGCCTAATCGCCAGGAATTTCGATTCGCCACTATTCGGGGCGATTCGTAGCATTCGTAGCCCACGTAAAAAGCAGGCATAAGCTCATGTTTTTCCTAAAGATCCCAGTCGCAAATGGATTGATGAATTAAGATTTACTAGTAATTAGTCCCAAAATGACCAAGTGTGGGTTGATTGGACGTTATAAATCACGTAATGTAATCATCAACTGCAATAAGGGCGATAATTCAAATAACACACTGTATTTGAAATCAATATAAATTGATTAATTCGGCAATTCACAGCTTTATCAGTCTATCAATCGATGACTTTTACTCGTGCGTGATTTTGAGGAATGTAGTTATTTGAGAAAAGAAAACGTAAATATATTTAAAATTTCCAGCATCATCTATTTTAAAAGCCTGGACTAGCGACAGATAAAAAACATAATTTGATTGGTTTATTCCAGATAGATACAAATAGAAAACATGATATGATTGGTTTATTTCAGATAGATACAAATAGAAAACATAATATGATTGGTTTATTTCAGAAAAGGTAAAATTTTAAAATCATTATTACCGGAAGTAGTGGATTATGTACTAGCGATATTAGAAAATAAATGTATTGGATTATCTGATTGTGCTCGTACAGCTGCAGGCGAATGTGGTGATGTTAATATTAAGGTAGGTCCTAATAAGAATAAAATGGTTCCTACGTAACGGCTATTCTCGAAATGTAAGCCCCGTAATTCGTGTATGGGACTCACAGTCTTGAATTTCGATTAGCTTTTCAAGTTGCCTCTTCCGTTGTTGACACTACAACATGTTGTCCACTTCAATTGCTACTTTCAGTCCTTGCCTACACGGAGCGCTCAAATTTTTACGAGATTCGAACTCAACCTTCATTGATGTGTAACGGTGATATTTTTAAACGGTTTTTAAAGTTGAATACATATTGTGACTTCTAGCGGGTCCACAAGCTAAAGTGCGATTTTGCGAACAGTCAGTGGCCATAATCCATATTACATTCGGATATGCGCGATTATCAACAGGAACCAAAGTCTTTGTGATATAAACTTAAATTTAGAGTTTCATCAAACTCGGGTAAGGATTGTGGCCTCTAGAAGGTCCACAACCTTAATATACCATATTTTTTTTACATTACTTGCGTACGAGGGGCGGCCATTATGTCCGACAGTTTTGGTCCGATTGGAACTAAACCGTCATGAGGGTGTAACGGTGATCAATTTATATGGTTTTTTTTATTGGATAAGAATTGTGACCTCTAGAGAGTCCACAAGCTAAAAACATGATTTTTCGTACAATCAGGAGCCATAATCCAGGAAGTTATGCTCCGATATATGCCAATATCGACAAGAACCGAAAGCTTTGGGAGATTGACCTATATTCCAAGTTTCGTCAAAATCGTATAAAAATTGTGACCTGTAGAGTGTCCACAAACACATTGTGGACGGACGGATGTCCAGGGGAGACCGCATAATACGTCAAAATGTAAGCGTATAAAAAAAACAGAAAAGAAAGGTAATTGAGGAAAACTAACCGCTTCCATGAAATTAAGTAACTAGGATCTATGTTGAATTTTTGTAGTCTCATTTGATCATTATTTAGTAATTTCCTATCTGAAATTTCTCGTAAATCAGCAGGCTTGCGATCAACATTTCTTTGACGTGTTGGCCATATATGGTTTTAAAAAAACTCATTTTAAGCATTTAAACTAAATCTAAAAGTCTTAAAATAAATTCCTTTCTTGCCGTCTATTATTTCACACCAGTGTTGGAAGAAATGACTTGAACTGAGATTTTGTTTTACCCCCTAGGGGTTAGTGTTAGAGTTGTTTTTAGAAAGATAATAACTTTTATCAAGTTGTTATTATCTAACACGTTTTTATATAATTTGTTTCTTAAATCGGGAAATTGAAAATATAGACAAATTGAGAGGCTCAGGTATAAGTTAGTGTTTGGGTAACACAGATACGACACTGGTGTTCATGTTGTGTAAATATATCCTTGTTTAACACAACCTCAACACCGCAGACCTTAATTCGGATTGATTTCAAAAATAGAGGGGGTCTGGGGTTGAGTTAGCACAGCGTTACACCAGTGCTACACTGATCTAACTGGTCTTAAACGCTACACCACCTTAACCCAGGACATGAATTGACCCAATGTCTATGTTTTTGAATGATCGAATTCTTCAAATATAATCAGTAAATGCGAAAAGAGATTAATATCAAATTTCAGATTCATCATGTTTATTATTGTTTTTATCTGCATCTAAATTCTAGGAACATCGTCAGTTAATATTTGATTCGCTGGTAAGAATTGTTGCCATTATGAAAATGGAAGACTTTCCATGGGATAATTATAGGTGTGGACGAGCTTTAGAAGAACTGTCAGAACATTTAATAAAAGGTCTTGGGTAAGTCTCATTTATATATTGTAAAACATTGTAATCCTTGTCTTCAAACAAATTTGGAAAATGAAATGAAACTTGATTTGACGTCTTACTTGTCTTCACGAAGCGCTTTACATCTGTCCTTGAGTCAACGGGCTTTATATCTGTCCTTGAGTCAACTGGCTTTATATCGGTCCTTGAGTCAACTGGCTTTATATCCGTCCTTGAGTCAACTGGCTTTATATCCGTCCTTGAGTCAACTGATTTTATATCTGTCCTTGAGTCAACTGGCTTGATATCGGTCCTTGAGTCAACTGACTTTATATCTGTCCTTGAGTCAACTGGCTTTATATCTGTCCTTGTGTCAACTGGCTTGATATCGGTCCTTGAGTCAACTGACTTTATATCTGTCCTTGAGTCAACTGGCTTTATATCTGTCCTTGAGACAAGTGGCTTTATATCTGTCCTTGTGTCAACTGGCTTGATATCGGTCCTTGAGACAAGTGGCTTTATATCTGTCCTTGTGTCAACTGTCCTTGAGTCAACTGGCTTTATATCTATCGGGTTGTAAGTCAACTGGCGAGGTTGTAAATACAGTTACCAAAATTTGTAGCAACAGAAAGCTATCCCATATAAATGCATTGCTGTGATCATTGAAGTCGAAGAAGATGTTTTGATAATTACTTACAGTGTAGAGTCTTACAATTCTCCAGTGCCGTTTATGATAGACTAAACGTGGATTTGCGACATTCAAAATCCCTTAAATAATCTGATAAAAGTTCGTCTCAAACAAGTTATTACTAAGAGCCATTTGTTCTGTATGTAGATATTTTAATCACTCGCTACGAGCACATTTTTCGTGGAGTTATGGCTCTTTTAATCAGTATCGACGGCCTTAACGGTTGCGCTGCTCAGGGTAATGCTTTGTTGCTTGGTAACCTAAACCTATTCGAGTTTTATTTGACCATTTCTAGGGACGGCAAAGGTCTGAATGAGAAGGAAAAGGAGATTTTAGCGTCGATAACTCTGGTCAGTTTTCAACAAGATTTTATAGATCCTGAGAAGAATGAACCTGGGGGAGTACATTATGATTTCTTCGTCTCATTATCCGATAACCTGATGAAATTGGTAAGTCGATTCTTTGATAGGATGGAATTAGTATGTTGATTCTTTGATGTGATGAAATTGGTAAGTTGTATCTTTGATGTGATGAAATTGGCAAGTTGTATCTTTGATGTGATGAAATTGGTAAGTCGATTCTTAGATGTGGTGAAATTGGTAAGTTGATTGTTTGATGTGATGAAATTGTTAAATTGATTGTTTGATGTGATGAAATTTGTGAGTTGATTCTTACATGCTTTAAACTTGCTGGGAAGATTCAGACAGTCATAGAGAGAACCACTGCCAATTTTGAAATATGCACATCAAGTCAGTGCGGAATTATCGCCGATATCTGTTTTTAGTTTCACCAATATTTGGATATAATTGGCATGGTTTACTATTATTTGGATATAATTGGCATGGTTTACTATTATATGGATATAATTGGTATGGTTTACTATTATTTGGATATAATTGGTATGGTTTACTATTTGGATATAATTGGTATGGTTTACTATTTGGATATAATTGGTGAGGTGTATATACGATGTCCAATGTATTCGATGTATTCAAAAATTTGAAAGAGTTGAAATGATTCAGTAGTGAACGATGTGGTAAACATTATATCTATTGGTGAACGATGTGATAAACATTATATCTATTAGTGAACGATGTGGTAAAAATGTGTTATTTTTATTTCAGTTGTTGAACACGGGTCAATTAGCCAAAGAAGATAAAATAATTGAACTATTTTTAGACATTTTAAAACACGAGGAAGAAAATATTTATAAGCGAGCTGGTTATGCATTGCAAACATTGGGGACTAAATCAGGTCCTATATTCGCACCGTATCTTGATAGGCTATTAGATGTGTTTTTCGAGAATGAACAATATTCTATTTTATGTAAGTATTATATAAGGCACCCTAAAATAATAATCTTTTTTTTTTCTAAACAATATTTTTATTCATTAAATCTGAATTTAGATTGGGGAACAGGCTATCCCTATGTGTAACTCCTCTCTCTGATTTAGATACATGTACACATGATAAGAATATATCCATACATACATAATTACATATAAAGATAGAACATATAGGATACATAATGGATAATATAGAGTGAAATATATATTTTAAAAGTACTGCTTGGTAATGTTGGGTATGGTAAGGCCTGCTAAAGACCACTACACGCTAGCGAATTATAGAAATAAAATTGAACCATATGTTAGTCCCGAAATGACCTAGTTTGTGTCGAGTGGACATTAAACACCACCTCCACAATCAACAGTTTTATTTCATTTCATTTTCCATAAAGCTTTATCAATCTAGAACGTTTGGGTGATGTCGACATTTTCATAATATTGAGTTATTGTCATTTCTTGACCGTTATATTCCAACCTCGTGGGTTTTCTCCAGGGCCTCCGGTTTCCTCCCACTGCTAAAGACCCCTACGCGCAAGCGAATTATGCAAATAAAATTAAAACCATATGTTAGTCCCGAGATGACCTAGTTTGTGTCGAGTGGACGTTAAACCCCACTTCTCTCTCTCTCTCTCTCTCTCTCTCTGACCGTTATATATTATTATGTCTGATTTTTGTGCTTTACAGCAATTTTACCAACGGCTTATCAAGAAAACCCGAAACCCATGAAAGATTGTTTTCAGCGATTATTTTCATACGTTGATTCATCAGATAGCAGTGTACAATCTTATTTACTACAATTATTACCACATATTGCTAAAAAGCAACCAGAGGTAAATATCAGGATTTTGTCGTTAAATTTTGAAATCTTGATTCAGAAGGACGTTATATTCTGTAAAGTAGCTTCCATTTAGAAAATCAAAATCCATATTAATGATCACTTTACTTATAATTGTTTGTGGGGTAAATATTTCATTGTGATTCGTAGATGGTCGAATGGTTAGCACGTGCGCGCTGTATCATAAGGCCTGTCATTGAGTCAACTGGCGTGGTTTCGAATCGCCGGTTGTAAGTGACAAGGATTAGGGTCGCCTGTCCAACCTCGTGGGTTTTCTCCGGATCCTCCGGTTTCCTCCCACTGCTAAAGAAACCTACGTGCAAGCGAATTATTGAAATACAATTGAACCATATGTTATTCCCGAATTGATCTAGTTTGTGTCGACTGGACGTTAAACCCAAATTATCTAGTTTCCTTGAAAAATCCCATTTAGCCCATCAGGACTGGAAATGCCAGTTTTACTTGTACCTGACTATAGAACTAGTACCTGAAATTAATTTTAAACATTTCAACATTTTATTAAAAATATCAGTAAAACACACCAAAAGACAAATGACAAACACCATACAGATTGTGTAAGGCTGATAACATCTGGGTCGGGTGACTTCATTCCCGACTTCATACAGGAACCGGAAGAAATGAAAATAAAATGAAATGGGGTTTAACGTCCTACTATTCTGCTCCGAACTGGGCTAATGAAGACGGGCATACGCCATACAGAGTGCGATGAGGGATATTTTGCCCGAACAGCGGCACTACGGCCTACTCTTATATCGAATTCCAACTGTCAAGGGATACAAGTACACGGGACCTCGGTTTTTCGTCTCATCCGAAGGACTAGACAAGGGGGAACCACGCCGGAAAAAGTGGATGGACTTTCTCGGCCAATGCAGGGATCGACCAGCGTCTTACCCACTTAGCCACTGTGGCCCCCAAGGAACCGGAAGACAACTAAAACGAAACGTCACGATACCATAGTAACACTGTTTCATAAATATACTATAAGAACACCGTGCCTCATGTGAGGGAATATGTTCTACTCAATATTAACTTGTATTTCAGTTATTTACAGAAGATAATATAGAGATGTATGTGGAGGCTATGTATAATGGTGAACAAAATCTTCAATCTCTCTTTTTAATGACACTTGAACCTCTGGCATCTAAACGACCATCTTTATTCAAGAATCAGATCGATAAATTCCTAGAACGACCATATAATGAATATGCCTATTATTATCTATTTAAAGTTCTTGGTATTTTATCTGCCAAATATACTCAGGTGAGGAAAAATAATTATATATTTAAGCAAATCACACATCATTAACATACAGGACATCTTTGTAAATATAATTATCTCCCCTTAGTAAAGCTGCATAGAGTTACCCCCCCCCCCACTCCTTTGGTGGCGTGGCTATAACAACTTTCACATCACATATTCATCAAGTGATCACTTTAGTTACAAAATCACATTCACAGGGGAGATGATTCTATCCAGCTTTACAAAGTGTAGATAACACTGTTCCAAAAATAATCAAGGTTCCTTTTTAACTACTCGTAGGTTACAGTTGTTTTCTTTCCCAAGAGTCATTGAGGATGAAACTGTTCACTAATCAAGGCGACCTAATGTAGTCCAGTTGCCAATCATAATATTTCGAGGGCTATGTAAATTGTCTACAAAGTTTTTTTTCTCAAAACGCTCAAGGGTGACACAGGTTCTGAAAAAGGACACCCAGGGCTACCAAAATCAAGCATAAAAAACCTTGTATACAATTTCCAGGTTCAGGCATAGTTCTGCCGGACTAAATGCTGTCTGTAAGGTTTAACGTCCAGTAAAGTAAACATATCAATAAATACATGCAATTAACAGTTGGCAGATAAACACGACCCATCGCAGCACACTGATTGAGAACCACCGCCCCAAGACAGTATTTGACTAGTTGAAATATCGGTTTAATGTTCCCCACTCCCCTCATCCACCAATTGTCATCTATTTAATTTCATTATCGTTGCAGAAAGAAGCAGAAAAAATTCTAAACTTCTTCCTAAAATTTCTAAAAGGTAGCGAGGATACATCTAAGAAATTGATATTAATTATTGAAATGAAGGGGATGGTTTTACCTCATAGAAGTTTAATAGAGAAACATCGAGCGTTTATAGAGAAACTAAGTACAACGGGTACTGATCAAAACTTCAAGGATCAGGCTAAAGCAATTATAGATTTACTGAAAGGTAGAAGGTAAGTGATGTAATTCAGATACTTATCACTATTATAGTTTTACTGGACGGTAGAAGGTAAGGGATGTAATTCAGATATTTATCACTATTATAGATTTACTGGAAGGTAGAAGGTAAGTAATGTAATTCAGATACTTCTCCCTATTATAGATTTACTGGAAGGTAGAAGGTGAGTGATGTAATTCAGATACTTATCACTATTATAGATTTACTGGAAGGTAGAAGGTAAGTAATGTAATTCAGATATTTATCACTATTATTTGTTTACAGGGTGATAGAATTAGTAGTCTCAATCTAGAGTTGCTATAATGGGGAAGCAAACAGACATTATAGCCCTTGGTTTGTGTATGTTTAGAAATTATGTATCGTGAAGTAGTGTTATGATCATCCTATTCATACATCATTTTGTTTTAGTTTAGAGACATTAGCTGATGACTATTTATACGTGACATTGTTTTAGTTTAGAGACATTAGCTGATGACTATTTATACGTGACATTGTTTTAGTTTAGAGACATTAGCTGATGACTATAATCATATTAATACGTGACATTGTTACAGTTTAGAGACATTAGCCGATGACTATAATCCTATTAATACGTGACATTGTTTTAGTTTAGAGACATTAGCTGATGATATTGATCTACAACAAGATGAGATATATAACCTAGATACACGAGTTACAACTAACGAGAATAATATCAACCAAGTTACGGAGGAAGTTGGACGTCACAGCGAGCAGGTTACAGAAATAAGATATGATGTAGACCAACAGGGTAATAGAATAAACGAACTTGGTGAAGTGGTGGACGAAATTGACCAAAAGGTAGATTGCTAATCCAAGATAAGTTATTTTCATTAAAGGCTCAATACCACTCTTGTTGTAACTGAAGAATATGTCCCAATCTTCATTCTGGTCAACTATTTTACAATATTCCAATTAATTGATGATACAAATTTCATTTTAACACACCTAATTTAAAAAATTGGAAAAATTCAACTAAATGATTTGAAAAGCCTGACGTAAAGCTTTTCAAATGTGACTTGGATTTAAAAATATTTTTGAACCCTTTGGACAAGTAAAATAAAATTTAATGGATAATTTACCCAACAGGTAGGACACTAAGACATCTAGTACTTAGAATAAGGCTATTTTTTATTTTCTGGAGCTGTCAAGCCAGCCAGAGTGTTATTGTCCCTTTAACAATGTCGAGACTTCTGACTTGGTTGCTTCTAGACATTGTTATTATTTGACAATTCACATGATATTTGTCTCCTTATTCTCCTTGTCTAATTATTAAATGAAATGGGGTTTAACGTACTACTGTTCTGCTCCGAACTGGGCTAATGAAGAAAGGCATACGTCATACAGTGTGCTATGAACGAAACTGTGCCCGGACAGCAGTAATACGACCGACTCTTATATCGAATTCCAACTGCCAAGGGATCTTTTACGTGCACGCCAATGTGTACACGGGATCCTGTTTTTTCGTCCCATCCGAACGACTAGACACGATGAACTTTCTCGGTCAACTCCGAGATTGATCCCGCGACCTCCAGACTAGCGAACCAGCGTCTTACCCATTTAGCCACCATGACCCGCTGTCTTCAAATTATATTGTCCATTATATTGTCCGTTTATTTCCTATATACTGTCCATGTATATTGTCCATTTATTTCTTATATACTGGGGGATTGGGGGGTGGATGGTTAGCGTGTAACATAAAGTCTGTCATTGAGTCAACTGGCGTGGTTTCGATTCCCCGATTGTACGTGACAAGGATTAGGGTCGCCTGTCCAACCTCGTGTGTTTTCGCCGGGTTCTCCGGTTTCCTGCCACTGCTAAAGACCCCTACGCACAAGCGAATTATTGAAATAAAATTATAAACCATACGTTAGTCCCGAAATGGCCTAGTTTGTGTCGAGTGGACGTTAAACCCTTTCTCTCTCTCTCTCTCCCTTTACCCGTTATTATAATATGCTGTGTTTCAAGATAGTACCATTCTATAATTAAACTCTGTCAGAGTGTTATACAATCATACCCACCTTAATTGTATTAGGTTTTATACGTCCATAATAATACACCGTCTCTCTCTCTCCCCCTCTCTCTCTCTCTCTCTCTCTCTCTCTCTCTTATATACTGTCCATTTATGTCTTATATACTTTTTTTTCTAATTTAGTATCCGGCTAAATTTTTTAGCCTGGATATTTAACTTGGCTACTTCTATACATTATTATTGGCTGACAATTCACACAGCGTTTTACTTTTCTAATTATAAAATCATAAAATCACAGCTACTGTTTCATAAAACTTATATATTAATTCAGTATATATATTGTCCATTTATTTTGTGAATTCTAGTATACATTTTTTGTCTGTTTTAAATGTTAAAAATGTAAGTCTTGTTCACAAAGAATGTCTTAGATCGTGCTGTATACTTAGTTATTACTGGTTATTTCAGACTTTAAGCCACGCCCCCTACTGGTCAAGGGATGTTTGTAAACTATTGAACCCTAAAACAGAAGCTGATTGGAGATTATTATCTAGTAGATTAGGTTATAGTAATGATGATATTAGAAGTTGGAGTCAGCAAGCTGATCCCTGTATGGCCATGTTAAATGAATGGTATGCCACTCATAAAACAAGTGAAGCCACATTTGGTGTCTTTACAGCTCTACAAGAAATCAATCGAATTGATGCTGCTGTTATTGTAGAAAATGCTATGAAAGCTGCTGGTGAGATTTTCTTTATTTTAAAATATATACTATCCTATCACTTTTTTTTAAAAAACACAAAAACAAATGTGTATCCTTTGCTACCCTGTACACACATGTTACGGTGTCGTGCACGGGACAGTGCATGTTATGGTACTGTGCAGTTTAAATTTAGATAACGCATTGGTGTCTTTATAAACTCTGATTGGATTCGGTCTCACTGCTACAAGTTTTGACTGGTGTCTTGAACTAGATAGAATCCCCGGTTGTACGTGACAAGGTGCAGGGTCGCCTGTCTAACCCCGTGGGTTTTCTCCGGGTCCTCCGGTTTCCTCCCACTGCTAAAGACCCCTACGCGAATTATTGAAATAAAATTAAACCATATGTCAGTCCCTTAATGACCTAGTTTGTGTCGAGTGGACGTTAAATGCAATTTCTCTCTCTCTTGCACTAGATAAGGCATGCTCTCTCATTTCGGAACACGTTAAGCTGGCAAATAGCATGTGAACAGTCCATTTACTGATTACACTATTTTGCCTATACCGTCTTTTTAGGACTTCGAATTTTGTCTAATGGTTGAATTGTTCGTACTTGGTTTTATTTTATTTATGTATACCCCTCCCCCCCACACACACACACCCGTCTTCCAAATAGTGATATAGTACGCTAACCAGTCATTACTCATCCATAGCACCGTTCCGCACCCCTCCCCCTTTCTCTTTCCGACTCCCTAAGCGGGCAAGTGGACAATTCCCATCGGAGTTCCTAAAACCAACCAATGTTGCCACGTACAGTCATATTGTGATTTTATACACCATTCCATTCCATTCCATTCTAGTGCAACGACAAGTACCGAATGCAGGTAAACACAGTGAAGCGACCGGAAGTAGAAATGATGACACCAAAACTCAACAAACAGTAGACGTTGAGGAAAAGTTAAAACAGATGCAAGTAACAGTTGATAGTTGTGTAAGGAGAGAGGAACTTGGATCTAAACTGGACCATCTAGAGAATAACATTTTGCCATCTTATGCCCAGGATATCAACTCTAGATTAGATGGTTTAGTTACTAGAGAGACTCTCCAATCAATAATCAGTGATATTCAATCAAGTACATTCCAAGTTTTCGCGGACCAATTGACGTCATTGAAACAGGAATTCCAAGTATTAAAAGCTGAAAATGCCAAACTAAAACAAGAACTATCACATCTAAAATCACAACAATTTGTTTAACCTCCACTCAATATCAGATCTTTTCGAGACTATTTCTACTTAAATAAGTATCTTGTGTGCAGTGTATTTATAATTAGAAGGAAACATGGTACTTGGAAAACACCACAAGGTTAAGCCGACAACCCTACTTCTTGTCACGTACAGGCCCGGGATCGAACCCACGACGTGCATATATAACAAGTATGCCTCGGCGTATTTGCAACACAACTAGAATATCGTCATCAGCCAACACAAAGTATCACATCAGATGCCAAGTCGGATACTGTCGAATTATAGTGCGGGCTCTCCCAAGGTTCGGTGTTAGGACCTGTTCTATTTATTCTGTGTACAACTAGTGTATCACATATTATTAGCCAACACAGACTATTACATTATTCTTCTTCTGTTAGGACCTGTTCTATTTATACTATCAAACAACACACAGATTATCGACATATTTGATCAATATGACACTAACCAATCGTTAAAATGTACCCAAACTTCCGAATGTCTACAAACATGTTGGTATCCATGTTAATCAAGCTGGATCCACCACGATTTGATCGAAGCACTCACGTTCCAGATACGACATATAACGTGAACATCCTCCAGACTACCACCAACATCCGCCGCCTTATATCTAATATTAACTGCAGCAGGATTGCACTGAAAAAATAAAAACGAGAAAAACATGCGGACAAGACAAACCACATCGACATTGCACAAAATAAACAAAAAATATAAAATCAAGTGAATGGATCCGATCTATTGTTTTGTTGTTGGCCTGATAATTCTAATGTCCTGTTATCCGGTATAACCCATATCAAATCTCCAGAGCATTTAAACAATCGACAGTTTATCAGTCGCTTAGGCCTAGATGTACCTAATAAATCAAAAATAGAATTTAGTGTTTTGTGTTTAAACGAAAAAAAAAGACCTTACATAGCACAACTTTTATTATTGTATTATGTTGGAACTGTTCTCAGCAGGAACACCTTCTGATAACAAAATATAAACCTCAAATCATTGCGATTCGGGTTATTTGTCATAATAGTTTCTGTTCTTAGGTGAGAGAAATTATGTAGTTGTTACGAATATACGATAACCATGGAATTTATCAAACCCCACATACAATGAATTCTATATAATACATCTTTGGTTTTCCGAGAAAGTTCATCCAGATTTTCCGGCGTGGTTTCCCCTTGTCAGCGATGCAGGACGGAGGGCCTGACAAGGACAGTTGTCTAGTCGTTCGGATGGGACGAAAAACCGAGGTCCCGTGTACATATTGGCGTGCACGTAAAAGATCCCTTGGCAGTTGGAATTCGATATAAGAGTAGGCCGTAGCGCCGCTGCCCGGGCAAAATTTCCCCCATAGCACACTGTATGGCATATGTCCGTCTTCATTAGCCCAGTTTAGGAGCAGAACAGTAGGACGTTAAACCCCTTTTCATGTCATTTCATCTTTGGTTTGTTTATCACCATTCCATTTGAATTTTTATCCGATTTTGATGAAACTTTAAATATATAATTGCATCTCGACGATGTCGGTGGCTGTAATTTCTTGGATTATGACTCCTGTCAATCTCTTGCAAAATGTGGGCGTATCTTGCATGGCAACGCCTTGTTGTATTAGCAAGGGTGAAATAGTGATAGACTGTCATTATTGGCTAAAGTTGCTTTATGCTGATTTTCAACAGTAGTTCATTCTCTTTATGCTAAATTCAGACTAAAGACAAAAACACGGCTACTACTGCCTGAACTGTCGTAAATTGTAAAAATGTTTCTTCAATTATGAACAAACTACTTAAACATACATTATGCAAGAGGTAAATCTGTCTATTGCAGGTCTTTCTTTAGGCCTGAAATGTTATCTAAATTATTAATTAGACTTTAATTAACTTATCCAGGCCATAATCAACTCTCGATGGCATCGGATTTCTCCGATATTAAATAGATTAGAACAGTTCAGCCATATTTTGATTCAAGCTAAAAATGGAGGAGCGAGACTTAGCTTCGAACTACCAGTACGGTGGTTGAAATTATTGCACACATCTTGTCAAACCTTCAAAGGCTAATATCTTCGCTCGCAATAGAGTAATTTGAATGAAATTTCACATTATTCATTTTGCATTAGCTATTTGTGAACTATTATAGCAAGAATGACTAGCTCTTTATCTAAATCATACATAATGTATCTTTAATTATGGGTATTAAAAACTTGTCAGCGGTGTAGGATGGGGGGGGGGGGCCTAACAGGGACAGCTGTCTAATACTTTGGACATTAGCGTCCACGTAAAAGATCCCTTGGTAGTTTGAATTCAATACAAGAGTTCTTATATCCCGGCCAAAATGTGTCTCATAGCACACTGTATGGCATATGCCCATCTTCATTAGCCCAGGCTGAGCAGAACAGTAGGACGTTAAACCCCATTCCAAGTTATAAGCCTACATATAGCGAGAAAATAATCTGTAAAAATCGGATAGACTTTTCGTTTCAGTAAATTGGGTCAGGCCGTTTAAAAATAGAACGGATCAGAAAATGAATTGAAAATGGCGGGAAAAAACTAAAAAATGGCGGGATGATATGAAAAAATTAAATTAGATAACTCTGAATGGAATTTATACTTTTGGTATCAGATTGACCTCAGTTGTCCAAATATTTTGTTCAAATTTTTAAATTTTGAACATTAAGGTAATAATTAATACCACATTAATACCCTGAATCCGACTATCCAGAAATGCATTCATTTCGGAAATAGGGGACGAATTATCCAAACTACGGCCTACGTTTATTTTTCACGCCCCTTAATGTGGATTTTTCACTTTTTTCATATTCAATTCCAAATGATGACCATCAGTTGACCGAAATCAAAATTCTGCTCTGCACGCTTTTTAGGCATTCCTTCAAGGATTCCAAAAATGTAACTCCCATGTCTGTAAGTAAAATATTGGAAAAGCCTTAGGTTTTTTTCACGTTTCAAGATGGTGGCTCTTCCGGTTCGATTCACAAACCCCATAGTGTCTTAGCTAGCACAGAAATATATTCTTAGGCAATCTGATCTACTTTTCAAATTTTTTTTTTAAAACATTGATCCCCAGTTTCTCCAAGGGGGGGGGGGGGATAAGTTAGAAAATTTCTAATGCCATCGTTGAAGTTGGATCAGCCAGGTCTACTGACATTCAAAGTTTTGTAGAAGTTGTCGAGTTGGATTTTACATCCGGGCTGAGATGTCAAGGACGTAATCTTCAAAAAATCGGAAATAGCAGATTTAAATTAAATGTGTCTTATGTTTTTAAAGAATTTTTCTTTAGTAAAATAGGTCAAATAGTCACAAAGTTACGGGGTGGGGGGGGGGGTATACTTGAGAATGCTGGGCATCCCTGCGTCGTAATCTTCCACTGTGTTCTTTAGGTCTTTTTTGTGATTGTGAGTGTATTGTGAAATAATTGTTTGGGTTTGTTTATCGTGTTTCTATGGCCATGTTATATCTTTTTATTGATCTACTCGTCGCTCGTTTTGCTGTGTCAGGTATATTGATTAAAGAGACAAGTTTAAAAAACAATAGTTAAATATCCGATTTGCGTGATATATAACTACATATAGAACGTCCTTTTTGAAATTAAAATAAAATTTTAATGGATGCATTAGAGAGAGAGAGAGAGAGAGAGAGATGGCGTTTAACGTCCACTCGACACAAACTAGGTCATTTCGGGACTGACACACGGTTTAATTTTATTTCAATAATTCGCTTGCGCGTAGGGGTCTTTAGCAGTGGGGGGAAACCGGAGGACTCGGAGAAAACCCACGAGGTTGGACAGGCGACCCTACTCCTTGTCACATACAACCGGATTTTTTTTTTAACGAGACCCCGTACCTCTCTAGAAACAAGCGGTGTCATATACTTTATGTGACGTAATCATTATATACGGAAGTTGCCCAGTGTGGTTAATTTTATTTGATTTCGCAATAATGTTCATAATGAGTGCAACTAAGCAGTAGTGAGCTGTCGACTTGGTTATTTGTAGACAAGGGTCGTTAAAAGGGGTATTCGTTTCATTTCATTTCTTTCCCGTTGCCTAGGCAAAGCGGCTTATAAACCAACATCCAATAGATTAGTCCTTCTATCATAGCACATTCCTAACAATTAATGGTGATTTTTTTTTACGTATGTCTCAGTTCTTTAGAGTCGGTGGATATTTGCGTGGGTGGAATGAATTTATCGTCTGTGAATTGTCCCTTTAACTCGACAACTGTTTAACAGACCGATCTTGCGTTTCTGTTGAATTAAAACAAATATAGAGTTTATATATTTATATCAATTAACATGCCGACATTAACATATGAATGGGTCGGGAATTCAATATGATTTACGAACAAGGTCACGTGTGTACTTTAACTGATTGAGACGTGAGGGTGTTCAAGTGCGTTTATCGTGTCGGATGGATGCGACTATTCTGCTACGGTTGGGTTTATCAAACGTAGGCTATAGCATTGAGAAATATATCGTGTGTTGTACAGACAGCTGACAATGTATCGTTTAGCTAAAATGCAGTATATATAGAAGACCGATCAACCATAGCAAACACTATTTATGTATACGGACATGTGACCTATTTTTATTGACCGGATAATCTGTCAATATCATATAACATGTTAAGCTAGTTATCGCTGTACACCTGACGTTAAAGGAAAGAAGGGGCTGTGATATTTACTTATTTACATGGCGGTTTGGATTATTTGCAAGTATTGAACAGTTCTAGAGATATGGTATTTATAGACTATATTGCGACATTTACATTGTTCGTTTGTGTTATCTTGTGAATGATGTGCCTGTTCACATATTGTTATATGGGCTAATCTAAATGAATTACGTGCCCGTACACGTATTATTATGAGACAATAATCTAAATATATCTGTATTTCGTTTCGTATAATAAAACTTCAAGAAAGTAAAACAAAAAACGAATTGAAAATACTCTGAGTAACCAAACGCCAGGGTTTATTTGCATTAATAAAAGCCAGTGAATAGACGTATCGTATTGATCACTTACTGCTGTACATTTTCATTATGAGACCGGACTCCAAAGGATTACCAAATATTTATAATAACTACTTAGATTAATATCTCTTCTAGGATATAATGACGTATTGACTGGGTTATCTGTTAAATCACAGTTAATCGATTATACCTTATTTTATACTTTCAATTAGTTTATCTACATAGTAATCATAATATACTTAATACTAATACTTCAAATCAGTTTTTACCTGTGTTTCTGTACTCATTGTAGGATCCCCGAACTTATGTAGTAATGTTACAGTCGGACACCAGCATGTCTTAATATTGTTGTGCGACAATCTGTCGGTATTGAAATTCTTAGTATGTGAATATTCAAACTTGCACAGTGGTATCAGGTGTCCTAGAAGTGGTATTGGGTGTTCTAGAAGTGGTGTAGAGTGTTCTAGAAGTGGTATAAGGTATTCTCGAAGTGGTATCAGTGTTCTCGAAGTGGTATCAGGTGTTCTAGAAGTGGTATCAGGTGTTCTAGAAGTGGTATCGGGTGTTCTAGATTAGAAGTGGTATCAGGTGTTCTAGATTAGAAGTGATGTCGGGTGTTCTAGAAGTGGTATCGGATGGTCAAAGGTCTTAAATTAATATATGTAACAGATAAGTGCGTAACAGATGACAGTGTAACAGATGACAGTGTAACAGATGACTTTGTATCATACTGGATTGCAAAGGAATTTTGTATATTTCTTGTTTACAGCTCTGTAACATTGGTGTATTTTGTATAATATAACCGAGAACAGTAAATCTATAACAATGTCAGGTTAGTATATTTGGTGTGAATTTTAAAAGACCTCAGAAAGTGTGTGTTTGTATGGACTATTTAAATTATTGTATTTGTGCATGTATGAGTGTATGTATGACAATTTTAAAGACTATATTTATGTGTGTATGGGCGATTTTAAAGATCATATTTGTGTGTGCATGGGCGATTTTAAATATCATATTGATGTGTGTATGGAAGATTTTAAAGATCGTGATTGTGTGTAAGGATGACTTCAAAGATCGTATTTATGTGTGTATGAGCGATTTTAAAGATAGTATTTATGTGTGTATGGGTGATTTTAAAGACCGTGATTGTGTGTTTATGGATGGGTTTAAAGATCGTACGGGTGTGTATGTGTTTGTATGGACGATTATGTGTGTGTATAAGCCATTTTAAAGATTGTATTTGTATATGCATGGGCCTTTTTGAAGATCGTATTTGTGTTTGTATGGACACGGTGTCCAGAGCAGCGTCGAATTAAGACCTATTGAGCCCCCAAGCACTTAGAATATGTTTGTGCCCCCATATAGTATACAATTCTAAATGCAAGCAATAATAAACCATAAACAATCCATCAAGCACGTGGTTAGAGTTATTCTGGGTTTCTATACACGTCATTTTATTGAAACAAGGTAACAGACAAGACAAATGGAGTATCCCCGTGTATAGGCAAATATAAATGAACATTCGTGTTCATAGGCAAGTGTAAAGGGAATACCGTGTGTTTGGATAGAGGTAAATGGAATACTGTGTGCTTGGAAAGATGTAAAGGGAATTCCATGTGTATTGAGAAATGTAAAGGGACAACTATGTGCATAAACATATTTAAAGGGTGTGCCATGTGAATGGATAAACCCAAAGGGAATTCAATGTGTATGGACAAATGTAAAGGGACCACTATTTACATGGAAATGTGTAGAAGTAACAAATGTAAATAAATTTCACGTGTGTTGAGAGGTGTAAAGGGAAAGAGGGTGAAGTGCGTATGAATCAACCTAAAGGGAATTCAATGTGTATGGGCAAACCTAAAGGGAATTCAATGTGTATGGGCATACCTAAAGGGACTTCATCTCTACGGACAAATCAAATGTATAGATAAATAAATCTACAGTATATCATCATTTAAATTCCTTAAAGATGCAAAAGCTAATATTATATAATATTATGCAGATATTTCGTTTGGACCCAAATGTTATATAAATAATTAATTAGACATTTATTCATATACCAGGATCAATATCAATTGTCAAGATCATCGAATGCTTTAAATACGATTTCGAGTTAATAATGTAATTAAAAAATGGATAATCGGGACTTTGTTTATTATCGTAACAAAAGTAGAAATGATAATCGAGACTATACTGTTTTTCAAACGGCCATAACTCCGCTCAGAATTAAATAATTTGACTGAAATTTTCAACATATCCCCTTTTCAGTATCAATATTTTAACTATTATAGCGAGAACCACCTGCCCTTTTTCGAGATCTTACATAATGTATCTTTAATTTTTTAGAGATTCACTGTGGGTTAGGGAGTTTGGCTCACAAAACAGGCGATCCCAGGTTAGATTTTCCAGTCAAACCTGTGGTTACCATTCGTACGCAGTGCAGGACAGAGAGTCTGGCTAGGAGATGTCTCTAGTCGGAGACCAACCGTGTACTTGTTGGCGTGCTCGTGAGGGGGATGGGGGGGTGGGGTGGGGGTGGTGGTGATTGGGTGGCCGAATGGTAACGTGTGCGCGTTAGATCACAGGGTCTGTCATTGAGTCAAGTGGCGTAATTTCGATTTTCCCGCTTGTACGTGACAATGAGTAGGGTCACCTGTCCATCGTGGGTTTTCTTCGGGTCACTGTTTATGAGAATCATCTTTGATCCAGAAACACAAAACTTTGCACATACGTGTAGTTTCTTATTGATGTATTTGATACATTAAAACAACACAAGTTTTATAAATGGCTATATTTTAGTTAAATTAAGGCGAACAATTTTGGATAAATTCTTAATTTAGGTGTAAGACTGTTTTATTAAACCGGGATCTGGATCATTTTGAATTTTACTGTACTTCTGTTTTGAACGGTATTTTGTTTTATTCTTTCAGTGGACGTAGTCGCCATTATAAACAGGACAGATTTCATGAACGCCACTTATGAAAGCAGAAAGCATTATGAAGACGCACTACGCAATTGGACCATGGATATCAAGGCACGACCAGCCATGGACAGTGTTGACGAATTCTGCAGGATTTTTAGAGCTTTAACGGCTAAAATCTGTACAACTGACTTTCAGAATGAGGTGGGCGCCAAAATGGTTTCAGTCCTGATAAAACGCATGTCCTATGAGTGGAGGTAAGTAGGCGTGTAATACAAATGTTGCCAAAAAAGATCCGCCACGTCAATCTTCAAATTTACCTTAGAGCGAAAAAGATGGAAGTTATTAATGCTAAAACAGTTCGTCAGATAAATACGCCGCGCCAGTATTCAAATTTACTTTAGAACGAAACATTTGGAACTAATTAATGCTGAAACAGTTCGTCAAATAAATATACTGCGCCAGTATTCAAATTTACCTTAGAACGAAAAAGATGGAAGTTATTTTAATGCTAAAACCGCATTTTCCAATAACGTGGGAGAGGTTCCCCCATACCTAATAGGCTGCGGTGTCGGAGGAAGTTGTATAGTCGCCAAGAACAGGAAGCGGTTATCCTTGCTATCGGGTATATCCCGACTCCTGCAAGCCTCAGAACAGATCCTGAGTGCATCTTAGACCCTCATTCATTCTACGTAGGAGAATTATATGCCTAGAAGTGATGCTTGCTACAGGTTAAGTAGATTCATACCCACATAACTCACCACGAAAGGCTAACTATTCGCCCCCCCCCCCCCCCAAAAAAAAAAAAAACCCCGGTAGTTTTGGTCATTAATAATAAAAAAAAACAATAATAAAAACTTTATTTAATGAAGCAACGTATTTAGTTTGCAAAAAAACTAATCTTCCATAGGTCCCTCCTAAACTACAGAGACATATATATATATATATATATATATATATATATACATGTAATATCAGGATAAATTTAAAATCATTAGAAATGCAATAATAACATCAAGAAAGTATCATCGGCTTATGTTTCAGAGCCCAAAGGCTTTTTGGTAGAAGATGAAACAGGTGTTTAATTTTTTCTGTATTGTGATTATTATTATGTATATTATTCATTACAGTAATGTTATACAATTTATATTAAATTATTTTATACACTGATGTTATAGCTGACGTTGTATTATATTATTTATTACAGTGATGTTATAGCTGACGTTATATTATATTATTTATTACAGTGACGTTATAGCTGACGTTATATTATATTATTTATCACAGTGATGTTATAGCCGACGTTATATTATATTATTTATTACAATGATGTTATAGCCGACATTATATTATATTATTTTTTTACAGTGACGTTATAGCTGACGTTGTATTATATTATTTATTACAGTGATGTTATAGCCGACATTATATTATATTATATTATTTATTACAGTGACGTTATAGCTGACGTTGTATTATATTATTTTTTTACAGTGACGTTATAGCTGACGTTGTATTATATTATTTATTACAGTGACGTTATAGCTGACGTTTTATTATATTATTTATTACAGTGATGTTATAGCGGACGTTGTTATATTATTTATTACAGTGATGTTATAGCTGACGTTATGTTATATTATTTATTACACTGATGTTATAGCCGACATTATATTATATTATTTATTACATTGATGTTATAACCGACGTTATATTATATTATTTATCACTGTATAATATAATATAACGTCAGCGGCAAGTTCACTGTATTATATACTATAATATTGTCAACTGCAACGTCACTGTAATAAAAAAAATGTAATGTCAGCGATAACATCACTGTTATAATAAAGTATAAATACATTACATTATAAAACATTATATTATATCATTACAGTGATGTTATGTTCGAGAATCACTTGGTACCTCTACAGGAGCTTGTTATACAGTTTTATATTGATGTATTAAAACTCGGACCACGAGAGGCCCATGTTTGTGTTGTAAGGTCAATGTTAGAGCCACTTTATAGCTACTTGGAGGTAAATAACACTTATTTTACTGATTTTAATCACAATGTTTTTTTCCGAGTCCCCATGATTTTCTTCCACCATCAAAATGAAACATGTAACAACCAAATGAATAACTGAAATAAAAAAATCTATCATCTATTTGTCCCGTAGCAAAATTTCCCCAGCTGCTTTAGGTTCGACGGCACTGTGTCACATCCTTCTTGTTGTTGTTTAGTACAATGTCAACGTCCAATACATTATTAAACATACATTATGCAAGAGCTAAATCTGTCTATTGCATGTCTTTCTTTAGGCCTGAAATGTTATATAAATTATTAATTAGACATTAATTAACTTATCCAGACCATAATCAACTCTAGATGACATCGCTAGCCTGCGATCTTATGTGGATTGTGAGCCGATTTACTGCATAACTCTCCTTCACGGTTTAACGATTAAATGGATAATCGAGACTATGCTGTTTATCGTACTGACTTTAGTAATGATGATCAAGGCTAGTCGGAAATTGGAACCGCTTAGTTCTCGGTTCATAGTGGATCAATTTGAATGAAATTTACAGCAAATTGCCTTTACATTATCAAGTTTTTAACTATTATAGGGAGAACTGCCAGCTCTTTATCGAATCTCCCCTAATGTATATTTAATGACCTTTAGCATGTTTTTGTTTTTACTGTTTAACGTCCGCTTCCACCGAAGGTGATATCGCAGACAAGTCTTATTTTTCATTTGTATTATCTTAGCGCATGCGCAGGGGTCTTTCTTGTGGGAGGAAACCGGAGTACCCGGAGTAAACCACGAGATTGAGAAGGCGCATCTATCCCCACGCCACATACGCTCACACTATGGATCGAAACCACAACCGCAATCCAGAGGTGACCGGCCAGCTAGAGGTCGAAGCGTGACACCAGGTCATCCCAACCCCCCAACATTAGCAGTTGACGCAGACATATAAAGGATGTTATATTTCACTGCCAAGATAAGAGCGGGGTGGTAATCTCCCTTTGATGTTAAAAAGCATCTTCGTCCAAATATAAACAATGTAATATAGAAGAAGGTCACATCGTTTAACTGTTCTTCTATTTATAGAAATGTTCAGTTGAGAAATGGAAAGAATTATTAAACCTGTTTAGAGAAGTTTTCAAATCGTCACCAGCTGAAGAGTTTGCTAAACATTTGTCAGATCTTTTTGAAATTCTTGTCGAAGCCAAGTAAGTATATTGTATAATATTATGAGATAGAGAATTTGTTTTGAAATTGAAATAAATGATCTCAGCGGAACATTATGTCCCTATGGCTCACTCGCCCGCTTTTGTATTTTGCTATATTTTTGTATTTCACCCAATCCCCTTTTCACATTTTTAACGGTCAAGCTATAAAGTACAAAAAATGACATAATTTGCTTCGTAAGATCTACTTTCATTTCGGTATTCATGTCCTGGAATCTTTGACTTGCAACCTCGATTTTGGTCGATTAGACACTTGCAAGAAACGCTGCCCTGTATCCCCAAAACAGAGACCTCTGTTGGGTGTATCAATTTTATGTCCTTTACCAATTATTGGATCCAAATTCAGAAACGAGAAATATAGATTACGATGAAAATAGGTGATATTTTGATATGATAATTGGCCTATAGATATTAAGCAGTGCAGTCATTTACCTTGTCGGATAGTTCTAAACACATAATATTATTATCCTTTCTTATTAAAGACACATTTATGTAAGATTTAGATAAAGAGCTAGGCATTCTTGCTATAATAGTTCGAATATAGATCATGTAAAATGAATAATTTGAAAATTCCATTCAAATTACTCTATTGCAATAATTTCAACCACCGTACTGGTTGTTCGAAGCTAGGTCTCGCTCCTCCATTTTTAGCTTAAATCAAAATATGGCTGAACTGTTCTAATATATTTAATATCGGAGAAATCCGATGCCAGTTGATTATGGCCTGGATAAGTTAATTAACGTCTAATTAATAATTTAGAAAACATTTCAGGCCTAAAGAAAGACCTGCAATAAGCAGATTTAGCTCTTGCATAATGTATGTTTAATGAAACCGCACCAACGGTGATGGAATGTATTTCGCTGAACAAATTAGGGGTGTAGGCACCTATAAGAGAGAGGGAGAGAGAGGGGGTGGGATTCAGCAGAACTCACGCAGACTGTCATAACAGTACTTCTTTGAGAATGGGGGGGGGGGGGGCGGATTAATCGACTCACGTGTTTGTAAAACGACGCATAGAAAGACCTTTAATTGTAATCTGTAGTTGTGGTCACGAACGCATGTTCCTGAAGCAACGACTGCGAGTTTTACAACATCTGGACATTGCTTGTTTACTTGTTGTTCTTAGCGTTTAACGTCCGCTTCCACCGAAGGTGATATCGCAGACAAGTTCATTTTAATTATCTTAGCGCACGCGCAGGGGTCTTTGCTGTGGGAGGAAACCGGAGTACCCGGAGTAAGCCCACGAGGTTGAGAAGGCGCCCCTATCTCCAAGCCACATACGCTCACACCTGGGATCGAAACCACAGCCGCAAGCCAGAGGTGACCGGCCAACTAGAGGTCGAAGCGTGACACTCTAGACCACTAGGCCATCCCAACTGTTTACTTCACAGTTCCCGAACTTATAGCTATGTTATCTACAGTCACGTGAGCAGTAGCGTCCAATCAGAGGTTTTGACATCGCAACCTCCACGGAAACCTTGACATTGAATGAACCTTGTACTTTTCAACTCGATTATCACAGGTAGACATTTAAGCTTGAAAGTGCGAGACTTGGTATTCGCGACGATCGAGGAATCTGATAGGTTCACAAATTGGGCTTGTACCCAATCGAAATTAGTGCCGCAATATGTAGGGTATTACGTGAAGGTCTTGATAAGATGTACGGAGTTAAAGCGAGACCAAGGTTTCTATTGAAGATGGTAGGTTATTTATTGTTGCCGGTATCTCAGAGTATAACCACTAGCTAAGTCCTTATATATTTTTGTTTCTATATGGTTAGGTCCGAGAAGAAGGAGAATTTACAAACAAAATTTGCTGAGCTATATCTTTTTTTTGAACTAAATTTCCTGAAGGAAGAGAAAAAGGTCTATGATATGTATCACAGTCTTGGTGTTAAAATATGCTATAAATATGATAGAAGTGTTTTTAAGGTATGTATTCGTTATAGACCTATAGATCTGGGGAGCCGCGGTGGCTCAGTGAATAAGACGCTGGTTCGGTATCCAGAAGGTGTCGGGAGTGCTGTCGATGTTGGCCGGGAAAGTCGATCGGAATTTTCCGGCAGGTTTCCCCGTGTCAGTGGGATAGGACGGAAGGTGGCACATTGGCGTACATATAATATACGACCCAGTTGGCTATCTAAATAAGTTTATACAGTCGACGCAGACAAGTAGGTCGTTAAAGGCCACGGGGTAAGGCAAATGGCGCTAATACACGAACATGGTCATTTATGGACTAACATATGATTCAATTTTATTTCTGTAATTCGCTTACGCGTAGGCGTTTTTAGTAGATAGGGCTGGATAATAGTGTTTTGTCTCAGTCTTTTCTGTGGGTTGTTCTGCGATTTCTGATGATGACTTCCAGTGTTGTGAACAAACTGAACGAACCAATAATGGTATCATGTCTGTAACATAGTTATACATGATCCGATGAGTGGAACTTTAACTTCTGTACACTTCCGGTATAATAGGTTTATTATCAGGAATCTATACATACATACATACATATCTCCTCTCTCTCTCTCTCTGTCTCTCTCTCTCTCTCTTTCTCTCTCTCTCTTATATTACCCACAGACGTACCACTGCTGTCTGAATGATCTTTAATAACCGACATAAACTGATTACTTCAATGATTTAATATATTTTGAACTACATTTTCTCTCATCTGGGGACCTTATCATATATGTCATTGTTACATTTTCTATATTTTATTTATTGAGCTTGTGATAGAATTGTTAGATTACAAACTTGAACATAATACAAATAAAAATATCCATTTTATTTTAGGTCGCAAAAGACGCAGAGTTTTACAGAAGTTGTCTGAAATACTTTATTGCTATTTTAAGCGACCCAGGTGGTCCGTATGAAGAGGATAAAATCAAGCAAATCACCTCTATATTTGACAAGCTTAAATCGGGTTTACAGTAGGTGTTTTATTAATAGGGAGAGGGGGAGAGGGAGAGATGGGGTTTAACGTCCACTCGACACAAACTAGGTGATTTCGGGACTAACACATGGTTCAATTTTATTTCAATACATGTAGTTCGCATGCGCGTAGGGGTCTTTAGCAGTGGGGGGCAACCGGAGGACCCGGAGGACCCGGAGAAAACCTACGAGGTTGGACAGGCGACCCTACTCCTTGTCACGTACAACCGGGGAATCGAAACCACGCCAATTAACTAAATGACAGACCCCATGATACAGCACGCACGCGTCAACCATTCGGCCATTCAACCCCTTTTATTGATAGGAATATGGTAAAACGGTTTAAAATATATGCAAATGTGCTGCGAGGAAAAGATTTCCCGGGGAGCGGCATGTCGATGGTCACTTTCTTCGATATTGGAAGTCATGTTATTTGGCAAGGTTGCACCAAAACCTACGGGGAGTCACAGTAGCTCAGTGATTAATGAGGCAGTTAATTAACCAGGAAGTCCCGGGTTCGATCCTGGAGTTGACAGAGGGAAGTTCCTCGCAATTGTTCAGCATGGTTTCTCCTTGTCAGTGCGAGGGGTTGGGTGGCCGAATGGGTAGCACGTGAGCGCTGTATCATAAGGTCTGTCATTGAGTCAACTTGCGTCGCCTCTCAACCCTCGTGGGTTTACCCCGGGTCCTCCAGTTTCTCTCTAGGATCGATGGTACAATATGTTGATTATCAGTTTCATGGTAAACACTTGTCCACGATAAACTGAAAGATGAAAACGGACTTTAGTTCTATTTTTTTATCAACAGGGACAGTAATATGTTTGAAGACATCTGTGAAGATACGATAGATTTTGTTTTAATATTAAGTAAAAAGACAGACGGACCGGAAGCTGATAAAGTTGTAGAAGGAATGGGTTATTATTATTCCCGTATAAAAGCTGATACAATTAAGGTGAGTCTGATTTTATATTCAGTGATCGGGGGGGGGGGGCGAATGGTAAGCGCGTGTGCGCTGTGTCATAAGGTCTGTCATTGAGTCAACTGGCGTGGTTTCGAGTCCCCGGTTGTACGTGACAAGGAGTGGTTGTCGCCTGTCCAACCACATGGGTTTTCTCCGGGTCCTCCCCGCACCACTAACAAGGGGAAACCACGTCGGAAAATCCCGATGAGTTTTCTCGGCCAATGCAGGGATTGAACACGCGACCTCCAGGCTAGCGAGCCAGCGTATTACTCACTCAGCCCCCGTGGCTCCCTAGAAAGGGAACGACAACGGGTAAAAGGTTACGGGTAAGGGGGTAAAGATCATTGTAGATATACATGTTATTGTTTTTGTATTATTTTGGGCTAGGCTAACGGAAGTGGGTTAAAATTTATCTTAACAAATATTATTTCAGGGCAAAAGCGCCATATTTGATAAATTTGCTCCAAAATTTCTTGAGTTCTTGGAAACAGCTGAAAATGATGTTTATTGTAGTAAAAAAATGGTGGAATCGGTTCTTGATAATATACTTAATCCTACCATGAACAAGTAAGTTGTTATTGTTAAATCATTTCTCTAAATCCTTATTTCCACAAGCCGGAAGTTATAACTGTATTGAGGAGCATGTAATCATGAAAATGTCATACTGGACATTCAAATTTATTTTAAGGTTCTTCAATAGGACATGACAATTCATTTATAATATTTAGTTTCATAACGGGAATCGTCTGTTCCAGTTTATATTTATTTTTGGAATTTAGAAACGGATATTTCTATTGCATTTATATACCAGGGTGATGGGACAGAGCGCCATTTTCTGCTGTCAAAGTTTGTTTATTAAAGCTGGACTACAAAGACTGTGTGTGGTTGTGTTTGATAAATTGATAAAAATATTACTACTTTCAAAATGTATTGATATTTTTGTACAGCATGTGTTCGTTGTATTTTACAGTACTAAAGAACATATAAGATTATGGTTGAAAATTATTAAAGCTGGTCTCCATAGAAATAAGTCAGTAAAAGATATTGCACATGCCCTTAAAAATAAAGAAAAGGTTTTAAAATGGAAGGTATGTAAAATGACTAGTTTTGTGTAAAAAAATAAAATTCATTAAGTTTTATGTAAAGTGGGTATCTGTCTACATTTAAAATTTCAGGTTGGTGGATTCAGCTAAGTTTGGGTTATAACGGATTTGATGTTTAAATGCCCCGTTTCACAAAAAAAACTACAAATAAAACAAAAACCAGGAAACTAAAACAAACAGTTCAAATTAAATTAAATGAAACGAAATAGTGTTTTTAAAGGGTTAGGGCAGTGGTTCTTAACTCTTTTTTTTTGCCAACGTCACACCTTGGAACATATGAAACAATAGCGGCACACCTGGCTAAAAATATATGAAAAATATTTGAATTTTTCAAAATAAAAACATGACAAGTCATAGACGGCATGAAACCATAGACAGGGATTAATCATAGACACATAGAATGATTCAAACTAAATAAAGAAAAACACAGCTATGAACTTATCAGTAGACAACAATAAATACTCAATTGCGATCACGTGGTTTTTCGCATTTTCTTAGTGTACCCTTCAAAATTTCACGGTACACTTAGGAAGATCAGCGGCACACTGGTTGCGAATCACTGGCTTAGGGTAACGTCCTATTTCCCTGAACCAACTGGGATACACCATAACTAAAAATACAGAATTCCACTTTATCTGCCGAAATGAAAACTGATGTGAATGAAGTTTGACCCATCAATGATCGAACTAATATATCAGATCGACATAATCTGACCTCAATCATAGAGCACTGACCCAATTTAACTAGTACTTTCGTTTTTACTGTTTCTGTGTAGGAGTCTTTAGCCGTTGGAGGACCCGGGAAACGCACGTGGTTGGACAGACGATCCTACTCCTTGTCAAGTACAACCTGGAATCGAAACCACGACATGTAACCCAATCACATCTATCTATACTAATATTTGTGACTGTCGTTTGTCTGTCTGTCTGTCTGTTTGTCTGTCTGTCTGTTCGGAGTTGGAAGCTACACTATGTCTGCCCCGAGTCTGAAATTTGGGGTATATGGGTAGCTCGGACCGGGGAGTAACATAGGCCAGGTGGCGTTAGTCTACCACTTCCGGTTTCGGAGTTATGACCCCCGAGCGAAGCCGGGTATCCTGCTAGTAGCTTATAATCTAATGAGCCCACATTAAACTATTCGACAACATAACTTCCCGTAATAAATTGTAAAACATAACTCCTTTTATTTCCAAGAAAAAGCCCATTATCTTATTTATAACAAACATAATTTAGGGGTGGGGGTGGGGCACCTGTTTCTTTAGAGTAAGTCAATTAGAACTGCTGCAGTCAGGTCACGTGCTTGCGACGACAGCGTTTAGTAACACCCTAAACCACTTTTAATCTGAGAAATTCATTCAGAGTAACTCAACTAGACCGGCTACAGACACGTCCCGTCCGTACGACTGCGTATAGTAACACCCTGAAACCACTTCTAATCTGAGCAATTCATTCCGGGAAGCAACTGTTTGTTTTAATGCTGTATCTGGTTTTACTGCTCTTTTTATTTCAGGATTTGAAAACTGAAGCTAAAGAATTTTGTGATGTTTTCTTCAAGAGACGATATTATGTGAAGGGTGATGGTTGGGATGAGAGAGATATAACAGACGGTTTTAATAGTATATTAGAGGAATTATTGAAGGGTTTTAAGTAAGCACAGCCTCCTTCTAGAACATCAGATACAACGTCGTCGTCGCGATCCGCTCGTATGCGCGTGTACGGAAAACAAATCTTGGAATTCGGTGAAGGTAGGCGGAAACACACTGCTGTCTTAGCAAAGATTTCATCCTTAGCATGGAGTAGCACGTGCACTTTAGACCATAAGGTGTGTCACTAAGCCAAGGCCATGCTTGACACTACATGGCATAAGGCCGCCTGCCTGCCTAAGATGGTGTTTTGCCTGGGTTCTCTAGCTTTTCCCCACTGCTAAAGACCCCAGTCGCAAATGGTTTGATGAATTTAGATTTATCATACATTAGTCCGGAAATGAACAAGTGTGGGTTGAATGGACGCCAAATAATCATCAACTGCAATAAGGGCGATAACTCAAATAGTACCCTGAGTTGGAAATCCATAATATTTGATGAATTCGGTAATTCACAGCTTTGTCATTCTATCAGTCGATGACTTTTAATCTGGCGTGGTTTATTTCAAATAGATACAAATAGAAAACATAATATGATTGGTTTATTTCAGAAAAGGAAAAATATTAAAATGGTTTTTACCGGAAGTAGTGGATTATACACTAGCAATATTAGAAGATAAATGTGTTGGATTATTTGAATGTGCTCACACAGCTGCAAGTGAATGTGGTGATGTTAATATTAAGGTAGGTCCTAATAAGAAAAAAAACTATAAACTATGGAAACTGATTCCTACGTAACGACTATTCTCGAAATCCTATAGCAAGTAAAGGCTCTTGAGCAACTCATCGTTAAATTTCAGTTGGAGTCATTCTACGTGATTACTCGTGTATGGGACACACAGTCTTGTATTTTGCTTGGCTGTTGTAGTTGCCACTTCCGTTGTTGACACTTCAATTAATACTTTCAATCTGTTCCAGGTATGATAGGCTTAATTGTAGTCAGGTGTCGAGGAAATTGAAAGCATGACACTAATCAAGCGTTGTTTTAACGAAACGTATGATAGTTTTTGTTCTGTTATTGTCAGACATAACTGTGTACTCAGGAACTTTTTTTTGGGGGGGGAGGGGGGTGGCCGAATGCTTAGCACGTGCGCACTGTATCACGAGGCCTGTCATTGAGTTAACTGGTGTGGTTTGGAATTCCCTGTTGTACGTGACAAGGAGTAGGGTTACCTGTCCAATCTCGTGGGTTTTCTCCGGGTCCCCCGGTATCCTTGCACTGCTAAAGACCCCTGCGCGCAAGCGAATTATTGAAATAAAATTAATCCATATGTTAGTCCCGAAATGACCTAGTCTGTGCCGAGTGGACGTTAAAACCCATTTCTCTCTCTCTCACTAACGGCAAAGAGAAGAAGTACGTTTTCTATAGTGTACTTGCTGAGCGTGATGTTAGAGCTGGCATGGATAACAATGCTTGTGGTCGCTGTATTACGGGTCCTGACAAGCCCATATCTATGTTCTTAAATGGTCAAAAATAATCAATAAATTCGAAAATCAAAAGAGATTAATATCAAATTTCAGAATCATCAGGTTTATTATTATTTGTTTTTATCTGCATCTAAATTCTAGGAACATCGCCAGTTAATATTTGATTCGCTGATAAGAATTGAGGCCATCATGAAAATGGAAGATTTTCCATGGGAGAATTGGAAATCTGGACGAGCTTTAACAGGACTTTCAGAACATTTAATAAGAGGCCTTGGGTAAGTTTCATCTATATACAATCTGATTAAAATACAGATCTATATTTCGTTTCGTTTTTTTATACTTTCGATGGCCTACACTACGTAAAGATCTGACAAGTTATAGTGGGAGTTCACGTCAGTGGTCAAACGAGCGGCTTTTGACCGTATGATGTGAGACATTAATTAATCAATCAGCGTTGACGTTTCTAGTGGTTTACCCACAGTTCCGTGCACCAAAAGGCCAAAATCCTCACCGTAACAGACCGTTTCATTGACTAATCCCTCACATCAGCCAGAACACGTCAATGATAACAACTCTTCCAGACCCTAGTGTAGTAAAGACAAGTAAAACGAAATTTTGAACATTGTAAACATTGTAATTTGTATTTGTAAAGCACAAACCAATTTGAAAAAAGAAATGTAATTTGGTTTGACGTCTTACTTGTCTTAACCAAGCGCTTCAGATCCGCCCATGAGTCAACTGAAAAGGTTAAATGGCGATTATTTCCGGTAATAAATACCCTTGCCGGAAGTTGTAGCAAATAAAGGATCCCAAATAGATGCATTGCCCTGATCATGTTGTAAAGTCTTGTCCATTCTCCGGTGCTGTTTATCAGCATAGGCTAAACTTAGCTTTGCGACATTCCAGATCCCTTAATAAGATGATCGGTCTTTTCAAAAATGGCAGTTTTAATCCATATCGAGGGTTTTGACAACGACCGCGCTGCTCTGGGTAAATGCTTTGTTGCTTGGTAACCCATTGTAGTTTTAATTGACCATTTCTAGGGACGGCAAAGGTCTCAATGAGAAGGAAAAGGAGATTTTGGCGTCGATAACTCTGACTAATTTTCAACAAGATTTTATAGATCCCGAGAAGAATGAACCTGGTGGGGTACATTGTGATTTCTTCTTCTCATTATCCGATAACCTGATGAAATTGGTAAGTTGATTCTTAGATCTGATGAAATTCGAATGTTGATTGTTTGATGTGATGAAATTGGTAAGTTGATTCTTTGATGAGATGAAATTGTTAAGTTGTATCTTAGATGCATTTAACTTCCTAGGAATGTTCAGGCAGTCATAGGGAGAAACAGTGTCATTTTTATACGCCCACATTGTCGTCGCCCCCGTCCGTCCGTCGGTCTGGCGTTAACAATTGCTAGAGGCCAAAGTTAATATCCGATTTTCAGCGATTTCCTATAGTTACTGCCAGAGTTATGGTCCTTGATTCAAAAAATCTTGTGGACGCTCTAGAGTCCAAAGTTAATATCCGATTGACCTTAAATTTATACACAGTGTTTAAGGTCATGAGACGAAGAATCCTATTGATTTTCAACGATTTCCGATAAATAATGCCAAAGTTATGGCCCTTGATCACTTTGCAAAATCTTGTGACGCTCTAAAGGCTAAAGTTATTATCCGATTGACTTCAGATTGATACACAGAGTTTAAGATCTTGAGACGAACAAGTATATTGATTTTCAATGAATTTTTATGACTTGGAACAGCTAAATCCATGATATTAAAAGTTTTGTATACAAAACGTTAGCATGTGCAGAACTTTATAAAAACCAAACAAATTCTAATCGTTTTCTGAGTTGTTGCTCTTAATCAGATTTTAGTGTATTATAAATGTTTCATTACCGAAAAAAGTAAAAATATGCGACAACTCTTGTTGACTGCCCGGACGATTTAGCTGCTGTGGGCGTATGTTTCGTTGCCTGGCAACCTATCTTTTATATTTGCATATCACGTCAATGCGGAATTATTGCCCCAGTCGCCGATATCTGTTTTTATTTTTACCAGTATGGTGTATATACAATGTCCAATGTATTCGACAATTTAAATAGAGTTGAAATGATTCAGTGGTTGTGGATGTAAATTTAAAGAAAGCGATACCCCTAACAACATTATATCATTTGACGAAGGATGTGCTAAACATTTATTATTTTTATTTCAGTTGTTGAACACCGGTCAATTAGCCAAAGAAGATAAAATAATTGAACTATTTTTAGACATTTTAAAACGCGAGGAAGAAGATATTTATACGCGAGCTGGTTATACATTTCAAACATTAGGGGCTAAATCAGCCCCAATATTCGCACCGTATCTTGATAAGTTATTAGATGCGTTCTTCGAGAATGAACAATATTCTATTTTATGTAAGTATTTTATAAGATACCCTAAAATTGTAATTGCTTTCCTTGTATTTGATTGTTAATTTCTCAACTGAATTATAGGATTAATAGGTAGGATTGTACATAGATTGCCTCGCGCCGCCCCCCTTCTCGCCAGTTATTCTACCTGACACGTAAACACCACCAATTGTTTGTAAGAATGGTAAACCACAGGAAAGCTTTTAGGCACTTAAGCACCATCGAGCGCCGGAATCTGGACATATTCCTGAAGTAATCGCCCGACTGCGGACAAATGTTCCAGGGGTATTTTGATAAAACTGTGTTAATGTTATATCTTGGCCGTTGTATATTATTATGTCTGAATTTTTGTGCTTTACAGCAATTTTACCAACGGCCTATCAAGAAAACCCGAAACCCATGAAAGATTATTTTCAGCGATTATTTGAGTACGTCGAATCATCAGATAGCGGTGTGCTTTCTTATTTGATACAGTTACTACCACATATTGCTAAAAAGCAACCAGAGGTAAAAATAACAATATTTTTGTCTTTTAGTTTTGAAAATTTGGTTCAGGTGGTTATATTCATTGTGATTTGTACAGGTAACATAGCCACAAAACTCGAGCAATGATTGATACACAAATAGCAAACTCGGGGAAATGCAGATTTACTCGTGCTTGCCTAATGAACTCGTATCAGACAAATGACAGACATCGGAGAGTTTGTGTCTGACAATATTTGTGCTCAACTTAGTGCAAGATCCGGAAGACTACTTATCTGAAACACCGCGTTACCATAGTAACATTGCTCCAGAACCCTCGGTTCTAATTGGTATTAACTTGTATTTCAGTTATTTACAGAAGATAATATAGAGATGTATGTGGAAGCTATGTATAATGGTGAACCGACTCTTCAGTCTCTGTTTTTAATGTCACTTGAACCCCTGGCATCTAAACGACCATCTTTATTCAAGAATCAGATTGATAAATTCCTGGAACGTCCATATAATGAATATGCCTATTATTATCTATTTAAAGTTCTTGGTATTTTATCTGCCAAATATGATCAGGTGAGGAATAATAATTATATGTTTAAGGCATGAAATGAAATGAAATGAAATGGGGTTCAACGTCCTACTGTTCTACTCCTAACTGGGCTAATGAAGACGGGCATACGCCATACAGTGTGCTTTGAGGTAAATTTTGCCCGGGCAGCGGCGCTACGGCCTACTCTTAAATCGAATTCCAACTGCCAAGAGATCTTTTACGTACACGCCACTATGTACACGGTACCTCGGTTTTTAGTAAAGCTTCAGAGATTTGCCCCCCCCCCCCTTGGTGGCGTGGCTATAGCAACTTTCAAATCACGTATTCATCACGTGATCACTATAGTTACAACGCCACGCTCAAAAGGGAGATTATTTTATTCAGTTCTACAAAGGGTAGATAACTCTGTTCCAAAAATAATCAACATTACTTGTGAACTACTCATAACTTGCAGTTGTTTTCTTTCCCGGAAGTCATTGATCAAGGCGTCCTGGTGCTGTCCGTAAGATTAAAATAAGCTTTAACGTCAAGTAGAATAAACATATTAATAAATACATGCAATTAACACTTGCTAAATGTTCATGGCCCATCGCGGTATACTTGGCAGATACTCATGACCCATCGCAGCACATTGATTGAGAACCACCGCCCTAAGACAGTATTTGACTAGTTGAAATATGGGGGAAGTATCGCTTTAATTTTCCCCACTCCTCATCCATCAATTGTCACCTATTTAATTTCATTATCTTTGCAGAAAGTAGCAGAAAAAATTCTGAATTTTTTCCTGAAATTTTTGAAAGGTAGTGAGGATACGTCTAAGAAGGTGACGGTAGTTATTGAAATGAAGGGATTGGTTTTACCACATAGAACTTTAATAGAGAAACATCGAGCGTTTATAGAAAAATTGAGTACAACGGGTACTGATCAAAACTTCAAGGATCAGGCTAAAACAATTATAGATTTACTGGAAGGTAGAAGGTAGGTGATGTAATTCAGATACTTATCACTATTATAGATTTACTGGACGGTGGAAGGTAAGTGATGTAATTCAGATATTTATTACTGTTATAGATTTACTGGAAGGTAGAAGGTAAGTGATGTTATTCAGATATTTATCACTATTATAGATTTACTGGACGATAGAAGTTAAGTGATGTAATTCAGATATAATTATCACTATTATATATTTACTGGAAGGTAGAAGCCGAGTGATGGAATTCAGACAGTTATCACTATTATAGATTTACTAGACAGTAGAAGGTAAGTAATGTAATTCAGATACTTATCACTATTATAGATTTACTGGACGGTAGACGGTAAGTGATGTAATTCAGATACGTATCACTATTATAGATTTACTGGAAGGTAGAAGGTAAGTGATGTAATTCAGATACTTATCACTATTATTGATTTACTGGAAGGTAGAAAGGTTAGTAATGTAATTGTGAGCTTTGGGTTTAAACGTGGTGGTCAAATCATATACGGTGGTAAATGGGCGTTATTTTCCATGGTTAGTAAATGGCGGGTGGTGTAGGAGTAATTGCGTAGTCCATATTTTAAAGTTTATTTTCTTTGTCTTGTACATGTTTATAAGTTAGTTGCTGATATGATTCGGACAGTACTACCAATGACTATAATCCTATTCATACGTGTCATTGTTTTAGTTTAGAGACATTAGCTGATGATATTGATCTACAACAAGGTGAGATATATAACCTAGATACACGAGTTACATCTAACGAGAATAATATCAACCAAGTTACGGAGGAAGTTGGACGTCACAGCGAACAGATTACAGAAATAAGATATGATGTAGACGAACAGGGTAATAGAATAAACGAACTTGGTGAAGTGGTGGACGAAACGGTACAAAAAGTTGAAGAAATTGACCAAAAGGTAGCTGATGATTCGTAAATAAATTGATTATATTTTTTTAACCTGGATATTTAACTTGGCTACTTCTATACATTATTATTGGCTGACAATTCACACAGCGTTTTACTTTTCTAATTATAAAATCATAAAATCACAGCTACTGTTTCATAAAACTTATATATTAATTCAGTATATATATTGTCCATTTATTTTGTGAATTCTAGTATACATTTTTTGTCTGTTTTAAATGTTAAAAATGTAAGTCTTGTTCACAAAGAATGTCTTAGATCGTGCTGTATACTTAGTTATTATTGGTTTTTTCAGACTTTAAGCCACGCCCCCTACTGGTCAAGGGATGTTTGTAAACTATTGAACCCTAAAACAGAAGCTGATTGGAGATTATTATCTAGTAGATTAGGTTATAGTAATGATGATATTAGAGGTTGGAGTCAACAAGCTGATCCCTGTATGGCCATGTTAAATGAATGGTATGCCACTCATAAAACAAGTGAAGCCACATTTGGTGTTTTTACAGCTCTACAAGAAATCAATCGACTTGATGCTGCTGTTATTGTAGAAAATGCTATGAAAGCTGCTGGTGAGATTTTCTTTTAAAAATATATATTCTATACTATCACTTTTTTAAAATGTATACTTTGCTATCCTTTACACACCTATGTCACACAACTTTTGTCTTCGAAGGAATTATTAGTGAGCAGAATTTCGCCCATGTATCTGTTATCACTCGTCACTTCAGTCAGTTATACAGAGGGATAACTCGTGTTTACCTTTTGCATTCGTCACTTCCGATTGCATTCGTCACTTCCGATTGTTGAAACCTGTTTAAACGTTGAAACGTGTTTAACCAGTTCTATCACATATGTAATAATGACTGACACCAATATTGTGCTTTAATAGGTTCCATATTTAACTATATGTTTTATAGAACAAGTTGTTGAACATGAAGAATTTGAATATTCCACCCCACCTCCGATATTTCTGAGTTATCAATGGGGTCACCAACAAGAGGTCAAACTATTACGTCAGCACCTAGAAATGGCTGGCTATGATTGTTGGATGGATATTGGACAAATGGGAGGAGGTGATAAACTATTTGAAAAAATTGATCAAGGCATCCGAGCTGCTAAAGTTATTATCAGCTGTACGACAGAAAAATATGCCAAATCACCGAATTGTAATAGAGAGGTAAGTCAATATATTTAGATTGACCGGACAGTTTGTCATGCCGCCTGTGTCTCATTGGCGTGGACATTAGAACCAAAGCACTCCAATATCAGACGTGCAATGGGGGCCGAGATGGCTCAGTGAGTACAACGTATAGTCATTCGGATGGTACGGAAAACCGAGTCCCGTGCGCTCTTTGGCGTACACGTAAACGAACCACGAAAATTTCCCTCATAGCACACTGTATGGTGTATAACCGTCTTACTTAGCCCAGTTTGGAGCAGAACAGTAGGAGGTTAAACCCCATTTAATTTAATATTTTAGGTGAATCTGGCTGTGAATTTAAAGAAATCAATCATACCATTAAAATTTGACAGTTGTCCGTGGCCACCACCAGGGTCGATGGGACCTATTTTCAGTGAATATCTGTTTATAATGTTCTACCAAAGAAAGAAAGAAGAAGAGACGAATGATGAACGATTCTGGCCAGTACCCAAGTTTCAGGAATTGTTGATGCAGCTGAGTATGAACGGCGTAGTGCCGGATGAATCCAAAGTTCATAAAAGTAAGTTCCTTATTATGTAATGAAATAAACTGCTGGACTATTTGGCAATTAACGAATTTAATATACGTCAAACGACTTGTGACGCCATTCTTTACTAGATACACTGTACTGATTTGTAAAATAATAATATTCATGTATTAGTTTAATTATACAAATCTAACAAGTTTTATTTTAGTTTAATGATTCCAAGAATAATAAACTGTATTTAAGTTTTGTTGTTTTTTCATGAATTCAGTGTATAAAAAATGGTGGATGCCTTTAGTGGAGGAAATTAAAATAGATAAATCTAAAACCATTGGTGGAGGAAAAAATCAAAATAACGAAAATAAATCAACCACAACCTATAATCAACAGGTGAGTTAATGAATTTACCTGCTGTTTACCTGTTTACCCACTCACTATGGTCTAACATATGCGTTTTATGTTTGAAATTTGTGTCCGTAGGTTTGTCTTGTGCAATTGTCTGTTTGTGGTGCGCGTAATATTATAGTAGGTCCGTGAAACAGGAAGTAATATATATTCGAAACAGGAAGTGGCGGTGCAGTGTTACCAGGCTCGTGCTGTTTTTATACCCCAAACTGAGGCCCCGGGGTGACTCTAATATATTAGCCGACATGTTTCAATTCATGACCTCGGATGTGCCATATTACTTTAAAAGTTTTTAATAGGGATAGGAACTTTATTTACCTTCATCTTAACCTCTGTGATCGAATAATCCAGGTCTGATACGTTGAGGTTGGTTGATCTAACGAAAAACCCTGTGGTACACATTTATAAATTACGGACCATTAAAGAAAGTATTTTTATAGAAATTCATTATTTATTATCATGCGGTGCAATGTGTCATGGGTCGCCCACCTCTGATCTAAGGTTATTTTTTGGGGAACAAGGGAAGGTCGAACAGAAGGACAAGGGAGATAACTACAGTGACTTGTGACGACAAGAAATATATGCAAAGAAATCAGACCACTCTTGCGTATTTACAGAGCTATTGCAATTACATTGCGATGCGGAGAAACAGTGGCTAAGTGCGTAAGACGCTGGCTCGCTAGCTTAGAGGTCGAGTGTTCGATGCCTGCATTAGCCGAGAAAGTGGTGCAGGACGGGGAGACTTGAGAAGGAGAGCTGTCTAGTCATTCGGGTGATACGAAAAACCGAGGCCCCGTGTATAAATTGGCATGCACGTAAAAGATCCCTTGGCAATTGGTATTCAATATAAGAGTAGGCCATAATGCCGCTGCCCGGGCAAAATTTCCTTCATAGCACACTGTATTTCCCATCTCTGCAACATTGGCTAGTTTTACAGATCTTCGTGCCGTAACAAGAAACTCCTTTTCTATTCCAGGTTGACAAATCCCCGGATGTATTTATATCTTATCAATGGGGTAAACAAAAGAATATTATGTTATTGTATAAAAGATTAACAGAGTTAGGATATCAGTGTTGGATGGATATTTATCAGATGGGTGGTGGTGATTCGCTCTATGATAAAATAGATCGTGGTATACGAGGATGTAAAGTCGTCGTATCTTGTATCACAGAAAAATATTCACTTTCAGCCAACTGTCGACGAGAAGTTAGTTTATGCGATGCGCTAAAACGTCCAATTATACCGATTCTCTTAGAAAATACCACGTGGCCACCTAGAGGTCCAATGAGCATGGCGTTTACAGAACTCTTATACATTGATTTTCATTCGGATCCTGATGTTCAGGAAAAATGGTCGGGTCCGAAATTTGAGGAGTTGAGATCTAAGATTCGAGAGATCCTGCCGTCTGTTGACGAAGGTGTAAATGAATCTGACGATTCTGAACAAAATGTCAATAAAAACGGAAACTTGATTACAAAAAAAGACATACAGTCGGAAACGCAAAAAGGTGATGTTACCAAAACAACTACGTCAAGTTTTGTCAAATCATCCAAAGCCAATTCTGTGACGAAACCCGTTCAGACACGTGTCAAACGTTACACCCCGCCTAATGAAAATAACCATGATAAAACCAAACCCGCTGATAAACAAATCGACAACAGGGATAGAACCAAACCCGCTGATAAAAAAATCGACAACAGGGATAGAACCAAACCCGCTGATAAACAAATCGAAAACGACGATAAAATCAAAACCGGTGATAAACAAATCGAGAACGAGGATGAATCCAAACCTCAAACGCAAGTACCTCCTGCCGAGAAAACAGAGCCGTCCAAAGAATCCGAAAAGAATCCAAAGAATCCTCCTGCACAGAAAACAGAGCCGTCCAAAGAATCCGAAAAAACAGATCTAAATCCGATACCCGTATCACCGAAACCAAAAAATACCACATCTAAATCATGTATTTTGTTATGAAAATGTGTATCAGTTTTGTTAAGAAAGATCGAATTGTAAGTTGTTTTAAACAAAAGCTTTACAAATAGTTTTAAGCTGATCGTCAACAGCGATAGATGTTTCTTTAAACGACATTCGGTCCGTTTTTGTGTTAGCAAAGATAGAATTGTGATAGATGGAGATATATTGTGATAGATTAGCTAAATTTATTTTAGTAGTGGATGCTTTCTTATGCTACATTCAGTCTATTATGACAATTCGTCCATTTATTTTGTTGTTGTTTTTTTATTATTTCTGAATAAATATTAAGCTGTGATATAGAATGATAATATGGCCTAAACCTATTCTGCGGATGTTTCATAAATTAAATTTATGCTACTGATGTTAAACAGCAACCGATATTTTTGTATGACAACTTTCGGTAAATTAATTTTATTATGCAACTGTGTTCGTGTAGATGATGATATATTGACTGTTTTAGCTTCAATCATTATACTAATCTATCAGAACTGATGCTTTTTATACGACAAGTTTCAGATTGTTATGTACATTTATTCGTTTTTTGAGGGGGATTGGGTGGCCGAATGGTTAGCGTACAAACAATGACACAATTTGCCTCGTACGGTCTACTTTGATGGGGGGTTGGATGGCCGAATGGTTAGCACGTGTGCGCTGTATCATTAGGTCTGTCATTGAGTCCGCTGGCGTGGTTTCGATTACCCGGTTGAACATGACAAGGAGTAGGGTCGCCTGTCCAACCTCGTGGGGTTTTCTCCGGGTCCTCCGGTTTCCTTCCACTGGTAAAGACCTCTACGCGCAAGCGTCTTATTGAAATGAAATTGAACCATGTGTTAGTCCCGAAATGACCTAGTTTGTGTCGAGTGGACGTTAAGCTCTCTCTCTCTCTCTCTCTCTCTCTCTCTCTCTCTCTCTCTCGCCCATTACATTTAGTTAATGAATCTAGACCTCGAGCCTGTTATGACAAAACATAAATAATTTGTATTGTTAAGCACGTCATTTATCAAAAAATCAAATATGTAATTATATAATCCACTTTCCTGCTGTTGAAAGAGGCTTGAGGAATATATAATACCCAGTTACACGGACAATAGAACTACAGAACTCGGTGACATTCACAACCTTAAAAGGACAACATCACTATAAAACGCGGTGACATTTGCAACCTTAAAGGGACAATAGGACTATAAAACTCTGTGACAGTCGCAACCTTAAAGGGACAATAGGACTTTAAGACTCGGTGACAGTAGCAACCTTAAAGAGACAATAGGACTACAGAACTCACAATAAATAAAACTCGGTAACAGTTGAAACCTTAAAGGGACAATAGGACTATGAAATTCGGTGACAGTAGCAATTTTAAAGGGACAATAGGACTAAGGAACTCACAATAAATAAAACTCTATGACAGTTTCAACCTTAAAGAGACAATAGGACTATAAAACTCGATGACAGTACCAACCTTAAAGGGACAATAGGACTACAGAACTCACAATAACAATTGCAACCTTAAATAGTCATTAGGACTATATAACCCAGGGTGACAGTTGTAGCCTTAAAGGGACATTAGGACTATATAACCCTTAGTGACAGTTGTAGCCTTAAAGAGTTTTATAATCTCACAGTTTTATAAACTCACGGTGATAATTGTAGCCTTATATTGATTCCATTCAAACAATATATGTATAAATAATTTTAGTCTTGCAAAAAATAATAAAATGTATTAGAAATATCCCACGAAAATCAAGTCCGAACACTGGCATACTAAAAAAATGTTTAAAACCCTATCCATTGCTATCCAGTCATCGTTTTGGGCGTGGTATTTTGCCCTATGTCTATTCCCTAGTTGTAAACAGTTTTCTTCAACAACATTGTAATATTTTATAAACATCGCCGGTCATCACATACACGTGAATTATACGTTTTTATTGGATTGTCTCCTTTGTTGTAAGCGTTTTCTTCAACAACATTGTGATATTTTGTAAACATCGTCGGTCATCACGTGCACGTGAATCATACGTTTTTATTGGATTGTCTCCCTTGTTGTAAGTTTGTTTTCATTTTGAGTGAAGCCTGCGTGACTACAGGTGGTCCGGGATTATACAGCACACTGCACGCCTATGACCGGCCCCTGAATCATTTCTCTTGATTTGATAATAGGCTTGTATTATAACTTACCCCGTCCCCTCTGTGTGCGATTCTTACCTACTTACTATTAGCGCACATGATTTTGAACGGACATCCGTTGAACCCCCTAATGCTAGGTTACCACTATCACGATTCGTGCTGCGATTGAAATCGTTGCGTTAATCGTATTGTGATCGCAGTGATCCTATCAGGTCTTATCATATGTTGAGGTCAGTTGTAGCAAACATGTTGATCGTATAAAAACGTGGACTCAAATAGGGACAAGCTATCGTAACGCATCGCATGACAATAGGACCCCGTTGTTGTTGTTTATTACAGATTTAACGTCCAATACAATGAATATGATATTATGGACAGGTTGATTTAATTAAATTATTTACACTTGAAAATTGTTAAAAACACAAATTAAAAAAAGGAAAAAAAAGAGAGATCCTCGGATACCAAAAGTTCCTTAAAGCACATTTATAAATTCGCTGTCGTGAGAAGAGAGGGCGGGTCATCCTCTCCCTTTGTTATTAGCAAATTAAAAAGTTGCCATGTGCAAGATTCTGTATCACGGAAAACGGATAGGTAATTTTGTTTCTTTGAGTTTTCATAAAGGATTTATCCTAAAGTAGTTATAATTTTATAGATACATTTATATAAGATGTAGATAACGAGCTGGTCGTTCTTGCTACAATAGTTTAAAAATAGATAATGAAAAATGAATATATTGAAAATTTTATTCAAATTAATCTATTCAGAGCCAGAGAGAGAGAGAGAGAGAAATGGGGTTTAACGTCCACTCGACACAAACTAGGTCATTTCGGGACTAACATATGGTTTAATTTTATTTACATAATTCGCTTGCGCGTAGGGGTCTTTAGCAGTGGGAGGAAACCGGAGGACCCGGAGAAAACCCACGAGGTTGGACAGGCGACCCTACTCCTTGCCACGTAGAACTGGGGATTCGAAACCACGCCAGTCGACTCAATGACAGACTTTATGATACAGCGCGCGCACGCTAACCATTCAGCCATCCAACCCCCCCCTATTCAGAGCCAAGTAAACGTGTTGGAAGATGTAGCGTAGATTGTTTATTATCGCAGCAACGGTACTGGACAAACTAGACTCGATTATCCATTTTATCGTTAATTTTGTAAATCTCTCGGGAGTTCTAATCCATTTAAATCTCTTTCATCCGATGGTCTAGAGAGTTGATTATAGGCCTGTCATGTTAAACATGGGTAATGCAAATGGTAAATCTACGTATTGCAGGTCTTTCTTTGGGCCTGAATTATTAATTGGATAATAATTAGGGGGGTTGGATGGCCGAATGGTTAGCACGCGCGCGCTGTATCACGAGGCCTGTCATTGAGTCAATTGGCGTGGTTTCGAATCTCCGGTTGTACGTGATAAGGAGTTGGGTTGCTTGTCCAACCTCGTGGGTTTTCTCCGGGTCCCCCGGTTTCCTCCCACTGCTTAAGACCCCTACGCACAAGCGAATTATTGAAATAAAATTAAACCATACCCGAAATGACCTAGTTTGTGTCTAGCGGATGTTAAACCCCATTTCTCTCTCTCTCTCTCTCTCTCTCTGGATAATAATTAACTTATGCAGACCATAATCAACTCTCGAAGTCATCGATATCCTATGATATTTACAGGATTTGAATACATTTTTTTTATTGATAAGTTAACGTAAAAACGGATAATCGAGACTTAATTGTTTGTTATCACACCAATGTCAATAATAACAAACGAATCTAGCCTAAAATTCAATGGCTAATATCTCGGTTCATTGTGAAGCACTTTTTGACTGAATTGTTCAGCATAATAATATTTTGTTTTCGTTTTCTAATTTTTTAACTATGATAGCGAGAACTGTCAGCTTTTTATCCGATCTCCCATAATGACCCGCCATAGGCAGATTTAGTTCTTACGCCCGATTAAAAGCCTGATTAAATAAAGAATATAGAGATGTACAACATCTTAAACTAAATGGTAGATTATTCCATAAAACAGGTGCTTGATAACTAAAAGAGCGCTGACTATAAGAGAATAGTTGAACCGTTTGGGGGCTTTAAAAGTAGTTTATCTGATGTACGTAATGTTCGGTCAGGTATATAAAGTTCTAAAAGATCTGAGAGGCACACATAAGCTAAATTATTTAAACATTTAAAAGTAATTAAGTAATGACATTTTAAAATCAATTCGATATTTAACAGGTAACCAGTGTAAATTATATAAAACAGGAGTTATATGGTCACATTTCTTAGTTAAAGTAACAAGCCTAGCTGCACCAATATTACGAGTAGAATAAGGCGGGATAATAATAATATAATAAGAATTGATTTATATATCGCCAACAGTTCAACTCAGCGAGCTTCTCTCGGGCGGTTTACATAAATACAACTAATATAAAATTACACAGAGCACATAAAACACAGCTGCCTCTAAGGCGCTTACATAATGACAATCACTTTTTAGTTACTGATAATATAAATCACACTGTAATAAATTTACTCAATTTAAAGATACATTATGGGAGATTCGATAACGAGTTGGAAGTTCTCACTATAATAGTTAAAAACTAGATAATGTAAAGGCAATTTGCTGAAAATGTCATTCAAATTGATCCACTATGAACCGAGAACCAAGCGATTGAATTTCCGCCTAGCCCTGATCATCATTGCTAAAGACAGTACGATAAACAGCATAGTCTCGATTATCCATTTAATCGTTAAATCGTGAAGGAAAGTTATGCAGTAAATCGGCTCACAATCCACTAAAGATCGCAGGCTAGCGATGCCATCTAGAGTTGATTATGGTCTGGATAGGTTAAATAATATCAAATTAATAATTTAGATAACATTTCTGGCCTAAAGAAAGATCTGCAATAGACAGATTTAGCTCTTGCATAATGTATGTTTAATTCTCCAGCTGTGTAACCTGATGATAGTGACTATCGTTTACTATTAAAACGTTATCTAGTACACAGACATGGTGTTCGAGGCATTTACACTGCGTGGAATCTGTGGACGTATGACTGATGTTGTCTCTGATCAATAAATGAAACACTGAATAAGTCTAACGATATACTTTTGTACTAATTATACATACTATAGACTGAAAAAACACAGCGGTAAAAAAAACGGTCGTCATGGCTGACTGGATAAAAACAAGAGCAAGTTGTTGTTAGTTAGTTGTATTTTACGCCCGCTTCCACCGAGGTGATATCGCAGACAAACAAGAGCAAGTAACCCTGACCTCTTAATAAGGAGTAAGACTACTGAAGTTAACTATTTATCCTTCACAACAATGATCTACTCCACAATAAAACATTTGTATTTCTTCAAAATAGTATCACAAGACTTCGGCTGGTTTCGTAGATTAATATTTAACGCTAGTTGGAGTGAAATCCTTTATTAGCGGTATGAATAGTGTTATGATAGATGTAAGACTACTTCCAAGATTAGACCCCTACGCGCAAGCTAATTATTGAAATAAAATTAAACCATATGTTGGTCCCGAAATGACCTGGTTTGTGTCGAGTGGGCGTTAAACACCATTTCTCTCTCTCTTACTGTCAGTAAACTGCTGCTTATATAGCGTCCAATAATTAGGGAAAATGAGACAAGAGTGAATCATCATACATGGTATTGTTTATTGATCAGATTATGGTATCTGTAACTACACTGCGTATTTACTTTGAAGTCATGAAGTTATACCGAGTGTTATACACGGATCATGTGTAGCTTGTTAAGGACATATTGAATTAATTAGTTGTTTAATAAGATCGTAGTCAGTCCGTGCCTTAACAGAAGTTTATACAGAGTTGAAACGTCAATATCATATATTATCAAAAATCAACGAAGGTCATAAAGTTCTATGTACCTAAATGATGGTTCAATTTGATGAAAAGGTATAGATCACTTTGTCACAAGTTCTCACTATAACAGTTAAACAACTAGATAATGTAAAGGGAATTTGCTGAAAATTTCAGTCAAATTGATGTCGTGCATACCTGGGGTTATTTAAAGTTACTGTCTTTATTAACGATGAACAAATATTATGCAAGATTTAGATAAGAAGTAGAGGGCAGTTTCACAAAAGTTCGCAACCTTAAGAGAAAAACTTAGCTTAAGAAAAACTTCCCTTTAAAAAAAAATCTTCCCTTTAAAAAACATCTTCCCTTTAAAAAAAACATCTTCCCTTTAAAAAAAACATCTTCTCTTAAAAAAAAACTTCCCTTAAGAAATAGTGACGGATACGAATTATTTACGCCGGTTTCACTAAGGCCGACGTAAGTGTTTGGTTTCCTTTAAACTTTTATTTCGTATCGTTTCTGGTAAATACATCACGAATAATCATGCCAGCTTTTACAATGTCTGCATTTACAGCCGTTATGTTTGATTTCATCTACACTTTTGTGAACATTAACGACGAAAATAATATATAATATATGTTAAGATCGTCATATGTTGCTTACTGGAACAGGGGATCACGTGGCTAAGTGGATAAGACGCTGTCTCGCTAGCCTGGAGGTCGGGTGTTCGATCCCAGCATCGGCCGAGAAAGTTCATCCAGATTTTCCGGCGTGGTTCCCCTTTGTCAGTGATGCAGGACGGAGGGCCTGACAAGGACAGCTGTCTATTCGTTCGGATGGGACGAAAAACCGAGGTCCCGTGTATATATTGGAATGCATGTAAAAGATCCCCTGGCAGTTGGAATTCGATATAAGAGTAGGCGATAGTGCCGCTGCCCGGAC